GAGTGAGTGAGTGAGTGAGTGAGTGAGTGAGTGAGTGAGTGAGTGAGGTGTGTGTGTGTGTGTGAGATGTGAGAGGAGGCGAGGAGGAGGACGAGGAGGAGGACGAGGAGTCGGGCGGGATGGCAGCCAACAAAACTAGAACCCCACACAGAGATGTGGGGAAAAAACAACCTGACAACTTGTTCCAAATACATGCATTTAACATAAGGAAGACGATGGAAGACGTTGGTGCGGTCGTTCAGCGAACATCGGGCGAGCCGGCCTCGCCCTTCGTCGGCCTCGGAACCGCCTCGAGCGAGCTAGCGGAGATCTCGTGGCATCAGTGCAGCAACAAGTTGGAGGCCCAAAGAGATGCCAGTGATTCCTCTATATACCTATAGAACCCATTTGATCCCTGTTTTGATAGGAAAACATCTTTCAGGTTCCAGGTATATAGATATGCAATGCAAGTCACACATAATACGTCCAACAAAATATAAACTATATATATATAATATATCAAATCTAATGATCTAATGATTGGAGTCCTTTAAGAATCTGATAGATATAGATGTTCTACAACAACATGGAAGACCCTGGGTACCAGCATCAAAAGTTTGAAGTCCGAGAATACAAACATTTTTTAAACAATGAACCACCCGCCCACCCACTCCCAATGGTAGTGGGGTAGCTGACCACTGCAATTCCAAAGCAGTGCCACCGCTTGGCAAGGAAGAACAAAGAACTCATCTTCAAAATCTTCATACAACACCTAAACAACATATCCAGCACTGAGCCCAGAGTTCCCATCATCAGCCCGACCATCCTGAAAAAGTAAAACAAAACAACGTGAACACACCTTCATAATAATCCAACCTGCCACCACCATCCACCACATCCTTTTCGCACCTGACACCCTCCTTTCTCCCTCGCAATTCCATGCTGCGGCCGAGCCGAGCCGGGCCTCGGCCTCCGCCTCATCCTCGGAGTCGCCGCTGCGGCGGTCGATCTCCAGGTCCACGCCCCACCTGCTCCGCTCGGCACGGCGACCGCGCTCCGCGGCGGTGCTGCCGCGTGCTTCGACCGCTGTGCGCGGCGGCGAAGAATTCGTTCAGGTCTCCCCACTCTTTCAGGCGCAGCAGCAAAGCTCGAGTGCCAGCGGGGGGTAAGCGCACACGCTTCCTGACAGACAGAATGACGTGAAGGTATCGCAAAGTTAGATAAAACTTGCAGGGAACACCAGAGAGGAAAAGAACTCGTCATGAATTGCACAATATATGCCTTTTTCAGGCCATTTCCCCTTGTTTAAACTTACAAGGGTTCGGAACCAAGCCGCAAAGTTCACTGCGCATCACCGCAAACGCAAGATATGGAACATCCGAATGAAGCTCTGAGAAAAGATCATGGCTGGCTTGCTTCAGGATGAGATAACATCCGCAAGCCGATGTTTCTTCACCGCTCAGGAGGTAGCTGACCGGCTCAGGGCGATCGATATCCCAAGCGGATCAAAGCGGTCTCTCTCGCTCCGGTTGTTTCTCGATCTCTCTGCGCTCGGTTTTCGGGTGCCCCAGCTTTTCCACCGACTGGTAGTCGCCGGGCGTGTGAGCCAAACACACTTGACACACGCCGGCCTGGCGTTTGCCCATGGACCGCGGTTGCGATGGCGCATGTCTCCATGCAGAGTGAACTGTTTCTGGGAGGCAGGAACCTCCATTATAAGGATCTCTATGTGTATAGATCTATAGGATCCAAAGGAGAAAGCCATGGTGCAGCGTCTCATTCAACTCCGCCTTCAAATCGTCAGGCCCCACTTCCACACGCAAGAGCACGCCACGATGTTCCCAATGGGCAAACCTCAAAAAGTCGTGAGGCGATGAGAAGAAGGGATGACATGATCAAAATTAAGGATATAACATGGTATAGCGGTTTCTCCAAACCAAGTATACTTGATAGTACCTGCCCAGTTCAGGTCCAGGTACCTCCTTTTCGGATGAGTTTGGAGGTGAGTTCGTACTTCGAAGACGACTCGTGGCCTGGAACCAGGCTCGGATGTCCTTTCGCAACGTTCTCTTGGACCCTTAAAGCGTTCCCCATCGGGGTTTCCGCCAAGCCACTTCTGCCCAGGGGTGAGATGTCGCCTCACGAGCGTCACAAGATGTGCCACCAACAAACGCCGCAGCAACTGAACCGAAAGGGCCTTCGGGTTACCCAAGTCGCCAGAAGTCTTCCACTTCAGGCTGGTTTCATGAGGCCTGATGGGCCTGATGCTATATCTATTATAGTTATAGCTCTTGCCCCAAAACCATCGCCGCAGCACCCACATGATGAAGATGATGAAGGAAGATGTCAGCTTGGGGGCGAGCCTCTGATCGCACGACTTGAGCACACACCCGAGCCCACACGTCTCCCGCCTGCTATCCAGCCATACATCAAGGCCCTGCTGTGAAAGGCAGGCCTTGATATCTTCAGCTGCCTTGAAGTCAGGCAAAGTGAGGTGTCCAAATATTGCTCGAACGTGAGTCACCCCCGACCCACGCTTCGCCTTCGACCGGTCCCAAAGACCCACCTCCAAAAAGGCACGTGTGATGGAACATCTGAGAGACAAGGCACCTGCCTTGAGGACATCCAGCTTGTCATGTCGACCTCTCCAAACAACTGGTATGATGACCTTGGAGTCATCTTCGCATCGAGAGGAGCGAGAGGAGTCCTTCTCCTCCTTCTCCTCCCGCCCGATGAACCCAGGCCGGTCAACGGACCCATCCATGGAAGTAACCAAATAGATACATTAAGCATCATGTATAACCATCTCGGTGTTGTTCTCTTGCGCCATGGAAGTCACCAGAAGTAACCAGCCCAGGGATCCAAATACCGATGTATGGCTGTCTCCAAAGTGTGTCCCCGACTCCACCTTCTGAGAGGAGGCCAGTGGATCCATGGCGAAGTTTCTGTGATTCCAGACCTAGTTAGTTGCAGTTTTGAGGGAGCTTGCCCATCTTCCAATATCAGAACCCCCAGACACTGCCCCTCTACCCTCATGTGTTGTCGCACATGGGACATCAGGGGGATGTTATTTCCCCTGGGGAAGAGAATAACAATGAGTGCCAGTTTTACAGGTTTTACTTTCGGGGAAGGACAAAACATCTGTCTAAAAACCCTGAAATCATGACATGTCTGAACTGCCCTATAGAAGCTCTGACCTGAACCCCCTGCTCCACCCTGGTAGGGTTGGGTCCAAGGTCCCTGGGTCCACACCATCGACCCCTGAGCTCTTGGGCCAAATCATGCTGCCTCTGCAAGTGCTCCTTGCCTCGGACTGAGGCGCGGATCGGAGGGACCGGTGATGGAGCAGCTCATAGCGGCGGACGTTGGCAAAAGATCGACCGAAGCGATCAGATATATCGAACACCTTAAGCCTTTTTGGGGTACATGACTCAATGACCGTCATGCACCCAAAAATGGGAATCATCCACAATCATCCATGACTTCCAAAGCAAAGGCGCACCCATAGCTAGCGCTCGGCGCTATGTGCGCGCTCGGCGCTATGCCGCGCAGCGTCTGGGAGTTCCGTGCGTCTCTTCGCAGCACCTTCCTGAGTTCGACAGAGAAAAAAACACGCCCCCCACCGGAGGCGAAGAGAGTGCGTGCTCGCTAGCGTTCGACTTCGAACGATGTTTGCTGGGATTTGGGGTGGTCCTTCTCTATGACTGCTGACAAAAGTGATAATAAGTGAGTGGCCTCCCAGACACGTTGCTTGTCTTTCTTTTCTTTCTTCTTCTGCTTCACCGCACCACGTTTCGCCTGCCAGTGCATGGAACATGATTTAACCTACTATACGATTTACTCCTACTCCTCGACTATGCTCCCACTGTGCATGACTGCTACTCTAACCAACTCACTTCCTAAGTTGTGATTCTGATACATGTCTTTGGACAAGACACTTTGGGAAACGACTTGGAATAAGCTCGCGGCACGACACTGGGGGGAGTGGGGGGAGGCTGCGAACCAGCCCGTCTGATTCTTCACTCAGCAAAAATGGATCTACTCAGCGCTGAATACTAGTAACAAGTGCATCGCTATTAGGAACAAGTGCATCGCTACTAGTAACAAGTGCCTTACTAATAGAATAGTAGAAACAAGAAGCTATTAGACACAATATTGATCATGGTTGATCAAAGCGCTCCTATGGAAATCCGGCTCCCCCCTCTGTCCCTCCTTTTTCGGCCACCTGGAACGTGCGTGGGGTGAGAACCCGTCTTCGTGGGATGTTTCCCAAAGGCTCTCAGTTCTGAGATACCAGGAGATAGCAGGAGTCAAGGTCCACTGTACCCTCTAAGAAAAGACCGAAAAAGGCGTCAGCATCACTGGAAAACCAAAGTTGGGAGACCCATGGAGACCCAGAGTATCACGGCGCAGCTCGCCTTGAGCTCCTTCGTGGCTGCTTTGACTTCAGCCGGTGACTTCCCTTCCTTACGAAGCCTCGGAACGACGGTCGACGTTCAGAGCTGGGGAAGGGGAAAACATCGCAACTTAAGAATACAAAGGCAAGAACTAATTCAGGTCTGTCTTCCGATGTCTTTCATCCTGGAGATGTGGACCCTGGACCAAAACAAACGACACCCCGTCACTGGTCAAAAATGAACGTTCTGGCATGTTCTGTCGCCACAATTGGACCAAACTTCCTGACATCAATGCAGTATCTGGTGGATTCTGAAGGCAAACAGTGGCACCACCAAAATGTTGGTTGCAATCATCTGTCCAACAAATTGGCAATGTTCAAGAAAACCATGTCTTGTTTAGACATCCTGCCTGATCACCAGCTGCTGAATCTCTTTCTGCAAAGCCCGTCGTTGAGCTTCATCAGTGTCAACATCTTGCGATGCTTCGCCAACAACCTCCTCGACCACCTTTGACTCCTCAAGTTTCCTCTTCTTTTTGGGTGTGTCCTTTACCGTTTTGCTGTCAGCTTCGACCGGCGACTCCGTATTTTTCCTCTTCGTCTTTGCTCTCACCGGTTTCTCCACTTCCTCAGCCGGCTCTGGAGCTTTCGTGTTCTTCTTCTTCTTCTTCTTCTTCTTCGATGAGTCTTTCACCACATGTTTCTTTGGCTTCTCCACTTGCAAAGCTTCATCCTCATTCAAACGAGGCTTCTTCCGCTTGACCATGTGCAGCGTGCGGCGTGTTTGAACATACCGTGAACGTGAGTAGTCCCTAATCTTCAATACTTTTGGGTCCGACGAAGGTGTAGAGCTTAATGATTAAAGCTTAGTCAGTGAACTAACATGAGTATGTAACTGATACTGTATTCTACTCTGTATTCTCTATTTGCAAACCTTAATAGGGTGGTCCATGGAGATTTGACCTTCTTGGATGGCACAAATGAGTGCATCCTGAATCTTGATTCATTGACTGTTCCCTTTTGGCCTGACACTCGTGCAATGTTGGCAGCACACAGATGTAGCTGATTGAAGTTTGAGACTTCAGCAAACGCAGATCTATCTGCAGCACTCTATCCGCCCAGGTTACAGGTCCATCTTTAAAGTCAAAACAATCAAGAAAGTCACGGTGTTTCTTCAGGTCAAGCATTGGAATTTGATGGAATTTGGATCCTAAGTTGTGCCGACAGGGTAGACCTCATCGAATTATTTTGCCATTCGGCCATCTCTGAAACCGGTCTTTCCAAACCGCCGAAAAAGGCAACGTGTTGCCGCGTTGCCGCGGTGTTGTTTGACGTCTGTACCGAGGCGCGAGCTGTACAAGAAGCCTCTGATGCTGGATTAATAGCTGGCCCAAACCGCACTTTGTGCGGCAAACTACGCTTAGCCCTCCGAAATGGTTAAGCGGAGGCAGGCCGTGGGGCACAGGCCGCGAGGCATAGGCCGTGGGGCATAGGCCGCGGGGCATAGGCCGCGGGGCATAGGCCGGGGCTGAGAATCATATGAATGGCACTTCGACCACTCCTTCTCACTCCAAACACACCGACTCTCACTCATTCAACATGCGGCCTGACAAAGGAATCATGGAATCCTGCGTTCAGCCGATTGAATTATATCGGCGGCGTCAACCCGAGGTTGACGACGGATTGGGAATATTTCAGGATTCCAAGGTCAAATCTATGGAAGTGAACAGTGGCCGAACAAACAGTGACAGTGGCTGAACAAACGCTTGAACAAGGCACTTTCTGCCGCGTCCTGCGCGTCCCGGTCGCACCGCGCGTCGCCCCCATTTCGCACCTTCTTCATCACCGGTTAACACTCCCATGATCCGATTGGACGCTGGGGTCAACTCGTAGATGGAGTCGAACTGCAGTCGGACTCTGTTGAGGACGGTGGATCTCTAGAGTTGTTTGAAAACTTAAGAGTGGAATTCACAACTTCAACTTCCAGAACTATGGAGTTGGAGTTGAATTCACATCGACTGCAATTGAATTCCTCTGCACATCAATGTGTCCAATTTCTTCTTGACGGGACAACCAGATGGCACTTAGTGCATAAATATAAGTAATGAGAGTATACCTTGAGTCTCCAAAGACCCTATTTTTATACGTTTTTGATTTTGGTCTAATATGTGTGTTTTTGCTCGGAAAACGCGTTTTCAGAGATGAGGACTTAACAAAAAGGTACAGAGGGAATCTTCATCCGGACACGTCCGGTGCGGACGCTTAAAGACGCCTTTTGGACGCAAATAGAGGCGTTTTGGACGCAGAAAAAAGGTCTCAGGACACTGTCTAAGGAGGATCTGACATGGCACAAACAAAAAAGGAACATGTCGTGACATATGCAAAAAAGATTGCTTTCTTTCAGAAACATCTTTTCTTGGAAAGGCGAGTTTAAACGGGTCATTGGAGACCCAAGGTAGTCGGAAACAATCCTCTGGGCTGCACAACTGGCTGGCTATTGAAGCTATTGGCTATTGCGGCTATTGGCGTCCAAAATCTCATGATTTCCCTGTTGCAAAAACAAACAAAATCTGTCGACATCTGTTGACTTCTCTCCGGAGCATCTCAACTCGCCATCTCAGTTTGCCCAATCTCCCTCTCTCATCCTCTCCCATTTCTTTACGTGTTCGCCTGCTTTTCAGAGTCGTTCAACAAGGAGCCATAGGCCACAGCTTCCAGCACCAAGCGTCGTAGGTCGTCGCTGGTCAGTCGAAGCGATTCCACCTGGGTGCCGAAGCGGGCGGTCGCTGACCCCAGGTCGTCGTCGCGATCGTGCGACCCCGCCGTGGGTAGAGTGTATCTTTTGGTTCAACAAAAGACTACTAGCGATGCACCTGTTACTAGTAGCTTCTTGTTACTACTAGTAAGGCACTTGTTACTACTAGCGATGCACTTGTTTCTACACATCTTCCGTTCAGATCACAAATGTCAGGTTGCATATTGACTTACGACTTCTGCACCGGCTTTTATAGGAACGACCCCATCAGACCGAAAACACTCGACGTGCCGACAGCCTGGCCCCTGAAAGCACCCCCATGCATGCCAAACATGGAGTGTCCGGGATATCCTCGTGTACAGCTATCCATCCGTTCTTGGCCTGGCCTCCTTCTTCTTAATGGCCTGCTCGAGTTTCTGGGTAGCTTCCTCTGGACTGCTCACCTTGGGCGGACGCAAAGGACAGGTCGAGTCAACGCTCTCACGCGGTTTTTCTCTCCATCCCCAGCCCCCAAAAGCACTAAATCTAAATATCATATCCACCACCTAGGTGGCATCTTTGATGTCTCTCTCCGAAAAACCACCCGCTTGTCTTTCCAGTCTTCGGCGCCATGCCCAGCGCATTCACCAGCTTGTCCTTGAGCGCACGCAAATCTCCGAAGAGCGCCGTGACCTGCGACTCCATCGCCATCTGCGCTTCCACCGAAGTCACCGACCACCTGACCAAGCTAACCGGGAGCGGGAGCGGGTGGGGTTGGAGTTTCAGTATGTTACAGTGGGTGGTTTCAAGGGTTTCAGGGTCCACAGTGGTGGTAACTTGGGAGATCATTGGGAATATTGGGAGATGTCAGGTGGGTGAAGAACGGTAAGGCGACCGTTTCAAAGGATGCCCAAATGCTTTGGCAAAGAAGGAAGCGTGAGAAATTGGGTGTTTCACTCCAAGGTTCGATAATTGGAAAAGGAAGAGGAGATGATAGGAGGAGTGATTGGTCTTTGTCTGACTGCAAGATGCTACATGATCGGCTTCGAACGCTTCCACGGCAGTCGAACTCTCGAGGTCCCCACATGCTCTGAACTTCGTCAGCTCCAAAGGATTCGATGTAGCCCTGTGTATCGCGATCGTGGCTCCGGTTTCAAGACATGATGGAAGAACGCTACTAGTAGCTTCTGTTATTACTATAGTAATAAGAAGCTGTAACAAAGGGCATCGCTACGAACGGAGCAAGAAACTACTAGTAACATGTTGTAACACTCAGCATCACATTGCATCACAGGTTTTGCTGGTTGTGGTTGTGGATCCAAATTGAAGACCATAGAGTCAGAGTCAGTGCAAATCTCACAGAGACCTTACAGAAAAACATCTTGTCAGAGGAAGTTCTCTTAGAAGATATCTCTTTCAGAATCCATGGTGGTTTTGGTGCAATGGATGAGACGCCATGCAAACTCTTTTGGACGAGTGGCACTCTGTATTTCAAGGGAGCCATGTTTGATCCGAGGAACACCACCAAACAAACCAAATCGGATGCTTTTTTCAACGAACGGCGCCCAGCCTTCAACGAATCGGCGGCACCCTGATCCTAGACGACTGCTGCAACGAAAGCACCAAACGTGAGAAGGACAACGTTGCTTTCAATGTGTATTTTGTTGAACTCGCAATATGCTTAAGGCCAATGTCAACCTCAAGAACAAAAGCATCAAATCACGTCAAACGGGCAAAGCACCATCTCAATCTCCAATTCTCCTCGAATTCCGATCTGACGAATCCCAACCCTCCCATTCGTCTGCCAATGCCCACTCCATCCGACCCTCCTGGGCGAAGGGGCTGGTGACCTCCGGCGCCTCCTCGCCCCAGGCACCAAAATTCCCCGCCAGCTTCTCCAGCTGATACCTCTCGCGGCCGTGGCGCCGTGGCTTCTCGAAACCCAGGACCGAGGGAAACCGAGCCCAGCGAGGTTAGAGACTGAGAGCTCCAGCACTTTGGTTGACCGAGAAGAAGGAAACAACGATAGGACCCGACATGGTGGCCGAGCAAACATGGTCGGATACGAAGTCAGGGGCGTCAGTGGATGCACGTTTTAAGAATACAGGCTGGTGAAAGTGGTTGTGGCTCCTTGTCCCTCTTCCATCCATTCCACACCACGTATCGATCCCTTCGATCGCACGTGAGCCGGCACGGCGGCGCGCCGCTGATCCACACGTCGGAGGTAGTAGCCAAACATCGCTGACATCGCGTAGACCTGGAGCGATGCGCGGACCACGTCGGGGAGACGGGTCGTCTCGGGCCGGTATGCGGTATAGAGGGCGAAAAGACTTGCTGGGGTCATCTGGTGTCTATATACATGAATGAAGGAGTTTCAATTTGTCAGGTCTAGGCCTGCAGGATGCAGGAGTCGAAGAATGCCTTTTTATATACGGAGTCGGGATTCCCAAGTTTTTTGCGGCTCCAGTATCGGATGTGCCACGGTTTCCCGGACGTCCCTTCGAACAACCTCTTCTTCCCTCAATCGATCCTTCGATGGAAACCGTTCCTCCCGGAGAGATGTCCATGGTGGCGCCGCCGCCGCCTTTCAGGCCGACCATACGGGTGTTGGGTGGTGTTGTTCATGTAGGTCATACCGTAGGCCATACTGTGGGCCATACAAGAGGCATCGCCACCTCCAACGTTCCTGCGTGACACGGGGGGTGGTAACAACCCGCTGCGAACGCGCGCGGGCCCTGCGAACGCGCCCCCACCGTCCCTCCGTCCGCTCGTGTGGACCGGCCTGGCCCGCTTGAAAGAGCGCGATCTGAACCACTCCCATGCCACCAGCGAAGGAAGGATTGCCTACCGCGGGCTGCCGCGAACCAACTGATCACCCGCTAGAGCGCCTTTTCCCCAGTAGAACCTACAATACCAAAGGGGTCGAAGCTTTGGTTTCAACGAACCCACTCGGCGGAACCCTGGGAGTCTTTGTTCAGGGCTTGGCCGCACGTGCGCCAGCCAGCCATCGTGCGAAGCTCGCTGTCCACCCCGCGCCTTGCTGTCCGATGATCCGGAACAAGTGCTCTCGCACCAGCTCCAGCGCATCTTTGGAATAGATGTCCGTGGTTAAAGCCTGGCTTAAAGTAGATGCACTCGGTATGACTCCAGGAACTGGCTGAGTGGCTCAGTATGTCACTCCGTTTGGCTCAGCATGTCCGAGACAGATTATATAAATCCACTCAAAGGCAAACAGGTTCATCTGTTCAATTCAATGGCTACTCTCATTGCAACAAATGCTATGCCACTCCAATATAACACTCAAAAGGTTTCAATGAAGATTAATGATATCATACTCAGTCAGAAATAAATGAAATAATTATGGAATCTTTGATCTGTCATATGTCCGCTGTACATTCTGTCAGCAAGCAGAAGCACAGTGGACTGCTGCAAGGAGTGGGGCGTGTTACCTTGAGGTCCACGTTGCCAAACTTCACGTCGCCACCCTCCTTGAGCACGGGAATCAGCGGCACTTGGAGCTGTTGAAACTTCCGACAGACCTGGCCGTGGCCGAACGAGACAAGAAGACACGCAGAACATGGATGGAGTGAAGCGAAGAGAGTGAGCGACGCGAGGCGAACAGAAGAGAAGGAGAGGAGGATTTCATGCTTAGATTGGGACGTTGCATGGGCGCTGATGTTCAGGAATGGTACTTGAACTGGGCTTGTGCAACCGTGGAAAAGATTGAAGGCAATGAGAAACTCAGCTCATCTGCAAATCTCAGGGCCCTGAGTCGACTCATCTGCGTGTTGCGCAGAAAGTGGAGGAGCATCCGGAAGCCTTCAAGTAGAGGAGCTCTGTGACTGCACCTGCAAGTCGCTACAGTGGCCCAAATAAAGCACTGTAGATCATCCTCTGGCAAAAAGGGATGACCAAACAACATCATCCACGCGGTACCAGCAAATCTTCGTCTTGCAGATGCCACGACATGCAAAACACAATGGACCCAGTCTGAACATGTGCAAGAACTCCATGTCTTAAAGCCTTCTACTTCGCCCAGGCACGAATCCGGTCATTCATTTTGACTTCTTCAATGCGTCTTCTCAGAACCAGGGTGTCCTGCAGCTCGCTCGCACCGCTTAAGCGTATAGGAATGAAGCGAACGCCAAGCGTTGGTCCTCCTTGGCATTGGCCTCCATCTCCTGGATATGGCCAATGTCACTTGCCACTTAGAAGCCAAATTGAAAAGGCCATCAAATCTAGATTATGGCATAGAGTTCTATAGCGTAGTTCTTGCCAAGAGACACTCTTCTTCTTCTCCTCCTCCTCCTTTTCTTCTTGGAGCTTCTGTGGGCAGGGCACAAAGCTCAAACAGCTTCCACAAGCAGAAGTGAAACGAGATAAACCTAACGTCCTCAGAACAGTACTCCAGCAGCGATGAACTATACAACAGCTGCGTTCTATTTGCCTGTACACCATGTCACGCTCTTAGTCTTTACAGTGAATCCACTCTTCTGTAGGTTTTTGCAGGTTTTGTGAGAACTAGTTTGTCGTCCATCCACAGCCACCTTGGACAACCGCCCGGCCAACCGCCCGGCGATGTCGGCCTCTAGCTCCTCCTCCACCGACATGTCGAACAACGTGGGATTCTCCTCGGTGGATCCCACACGATCCAACCGTGCATCACTCACGTATCGAACGAAACATGGAAGAGAAGGGTCGAAGCTGTTCACCCTCTTGAATTTTGCAAAACATTAAACAAAAAAAACACGAGGTGACGAGGTACTTTTAACATCTTTTAACCACTGCTCCGTCACTGCCCGTGTTCTCTCATCTCGACCCCCTCGTCCGGTAGATCACACCCTTCGTGGCCCTTGGTCGTCGACGTTCCCGTTGGGGGGTCCAAGCAGGTCCGACGTCGATGCAGAACGGATTCCATAAGAACATGTGTTGGGTGGGTCTGGGGTCTGGTGGCCAAGTGGGTTGGTTGAATGAAAAAGCGGTCACCACCGACCACCCCTTCAAACATCTTCAAACATTCTTTCTTGATGTTTCTGGTCCTTTTGACTTATGCAACAGAATTATGATTGAATGCCCCGCGGAATTTGAGCGCTTTGCCTTCATCAAGTAGACTGCTTTCTGCGCAACGCCCGTGTAAATCTCTGCAGGCCCAGCCTGACGGTTTCAGTCGTCAGTCGAAGGTCTAAGACGGAACGAGTATGATGCATTCAGTGTACCCAGACGCTCCAAACAGGTCTTGGTCCCTCAAACCCTAGGGATTGGTTCGACCCCAGACCCCTCCATATATGAAGGTCGGAACCCTCCAATGATTCGGGTACAGGGCCGCTCGTGTCTGGGTAGATGGAAGGAATGGCGACATTGTTGGATTCATTCAGAAGGTGTTCTTTTGTCCGGCGCATTCTTGTCAAGACATTGTTGGTAGGAATGCATGAAAATGACAATGCATCTCGGATCAGTGCAACAATAAGTCGACTGCTTCACCTGGCATATATGCTTTACCTTTTGAGTCACTCTTCGGAAGTGCTGGGCCTTCTTTCAAGTAAAAACATGTAAACACCAGAGTCCTTGGCAGCGTCGCTGGGCCTTCCATTTGTCAGGTAGATCAGAACTGCTCGCTTTGGCCCGCGTTCTCCTCCTCATCGGCTCGACCTGGAGAGCTCCACACAGCTCTGCGCTTCGTTTCGCCCGTTGTGAACGCCCATCGTCGCACCACTGAGTTCACCACGTGCTTCGCATTGACAAAGGCCCAAAGGTTCGCCTGCGACCGACCGGTGAAGCTCCACGTTCGGAAGGCGAGCTCCGCCGTCTCGGATCGGAGTCGTTTAAGGTCCAGGCGTAGGCCATCGCCAGGACGGCGTAGATGGCAATCCCTGAGCCATGTCCGAACAAGACCAGGAACGTCTTCAGTTGTCTTTATGCATCAAAGTATACAAACTGCCATGAGCCCCGAAACCATGACTTTCTATTAATGTCGACATAGGATTAATCAACCTCCCCCGCCCCCCCTTCAAGGTCAACAAGGTCAAGAAGGTTTGGGATTGGAGGGATTGGAGACCACATCCCCTTAATAAAGATGATGGCCTGATGATGGATGATGAGATGATGAGGACAAGATTGGGATGATTGGGATGATTAGGAAAGAGATGAAAGAGATTGGAAGACAAGATTCTTTCTTTGATTGGGATGATTAGGAAAAGAAAGAGGATTGTGGGATGAAAGAGATGGAAAACAAGATGGAGGCCAGAGGGTGGGCTTGATAAATAGGGGGAGGAGTCCCTACTATTAGGGGGTGGTAGGGCCTGTGTTACCCTTTGTGAGCTTGAAAACCTTAAGATGTTGATAGAGTTTTAATAAGGGAACATGAAATAATGTTGCTAGCAAGTTTTGTTTGATTGTTACAGGGAAGGAAGCAGGATAAGAGGCAAAAGGACGATGATAATGATATAATGATTGATGCTTCAATGATTGGTGGATATTGAATACTAGCAAAGAAGACAGTCAATAAACACAAACAGTATGAACACAAGTATATTGTGTTTCTTTCTCTGGTGCAGCTGGGCTTGATTAGTAGGGGGGGGTTCTGGCAAGGAACAAAAGTTATCAGGGGGAAGTTAGTTGCAGGGCTTTAATTAGTTTAGTATTGGAGGCTCCAGCTGGGCTTGATTAATAGGGGGGGTGGTTCATCCTATGTTGACATTAAGGAACATCGCCTTGCAAGAGTTCGGGTTCCGCCTTCAAAAGAGATCAAAAGTCTTGTGGCACATTTGAGATGAACCAGGCTATCGGTCCCAATTGCAACCTCAGTGATGGCCCTTGTGTCACTCTGCTTTTCGTACAACAATTACAACACAGATCCATATATATATATATTGTATTGCTAGCATTTGCATATGCATTTGCGCTATAATTTTTGGGGTGCAAATTCAACGATGCCCAGCATTCGAGTTCGCGGCGGCTAAGAGTTCTGGTCCGGGGGCTGCCTCGGGCGCCTGCCGGCGCGGCGTCCTCATGGATGTATACGAACCTTTTCAAACAAACACCCCCTGGGCAACCATCGGTTTAGCATGTCATGCGCCAAATTCATGTTATATGACAAGTGCCGCATCAAAGAGCCAACATCATTGAAAAGGGCAATGACAAAGAACCAAACAGCAAGCTTGTTGCACCTTGTTGGAGATTGGTGAGTATGCCAAGTTATACGAGGTCCTCTTACAAAAAAAACAACACCATTCTTGGTCAGCACAATTTCTTCGGCACTGTCTAAGTCTAACTGTTTTAATCTCTTATTCTAAATAGTATCTCCGATTTTACGTGTGGAACAAAACAGGTGAAGACCATCTCCCTTCGGAACACCGTGTTCAGTGGATGCATCGTCTAGAACGCATCCGAAATCAGCACCGAACCGGTTCACCCAGGCTTCGACCGTGTCCACGACAGTTCTTCACCGAAGAAAGCCACTGGGCAGCCGACTCATCTTGAGTGTCTCTGAGCCCGTCATGGCGGAGAACAACTGTGTCAAAACTGATCAAGCGAAAAGGGCTGGCAGGTGGAGCTCCAATGGTGCGATGATATGAGGACATGATCTTTCTGCTAGCTTGCATTCTGCACCCAGTATCGCCTCTTCCCTGAAAGAGGTGTGACATGGTGTGACACAACACGGTGTGCATTGTGACATCTGCTGAGTGTTTGTAAGGTCTGACATCTGCAGTTTCACATGCCATGTGCGACCGACTTCTTCGCCGCGTCAGCGACGGTGGGCCGGGCGGAGTCCGAACGCAGCGTTCGCCCACCGCGAAGAGGTTTCGCCCAGAAGAGCAACGTTTCGCCCAGAAGGCCGTCCTGGTGGCTAGTGGCTATATACTTCCTTTCAAGTCTAATGGTGAAGTGAAGGAAGAACCTCCCAACAATCAAACCCTTCGTCTACCGAGTCCGAAATCGCCAGTGGCTGGCAGAGGTCTCCGCCAGTCGTCCCGGACGTCCCTTCTCCCCGCCGTGGCGCCAGGGGTGGTCGCCCCAAAGTGACCGAAACATGAAGAAACACGAGGACCTTGATGGACCGCCCATGGTCATGCTCACAGGGTCACAGGTGGTGGCCATGGTCTCTCGCGGAATCTGTCATGGGGATGGCCAGGGAAGCTGTTTGACCCCATGAAAGGTGCGTCAGAGAGTCCAGTCAGAGTTTAGCTGTTGCGAGTCCAGCTCTTTTTCTGCAATAAGCGCTACTCCAAGAGTTGCTTCACATGTGGCATGATCGTGCCAGGTGCTTGTCTGGCCACATACTCACGCAGTTGAGCCTTCCAGTCTGGGTGCTGTACCAGCACATCCTGCCGATCCCGACAAGACTGACAATCGTCCGAAGAGAAATATGCAGTGTACAGTACCCCAAAAAGGTCAAGGGTCAGAATCAACAACAGTTTAATATATAAAACAAGCTTTCATAGAGCCCTTCGAAAAAACCATTGAGCCTTAGCCACACCTGTTTGGGGGGAGTCAGGTCCTCCAACTGTGACATGGGTAGCATAGCCAGAACTCTGGCTGCACCACTTGGCTGGCTCGCAAATGTGTGTTGGAGCACAATCATGAAGCCACGCCTGATTTCAGAGCTTCGATGAGCGAAGATCGGATTTCGACGTCTTTCAACCAGTTTAGACATTGGTGGCAGCAAGAAAGACTCCACCTCTCTGACCACACATCTTCTCCGTCTGTAGCTGACTGTGTGGGTGGTCTTTGGGTCAGCATGACTTACCAGTTCTCATCTGAGGGCAGCGCCACATGTTCTCATCTCCCCAAACTTCTTGTCGAACGAGTCTGGGAAGAATCTCCATGACAATGAAGTCCGACAGTCGAGGGAGCTCTTTGACCTCAAGCGTGCGTCAAAGGACGCAAGGTTGGGTAGCGTTCGGACGGCAACGGCGGCAGTGAATGCAACACATGCTAACATCAAGTGTATATAATATGAGTTTCTTGCTACAGGCATCATGAGGCATCCTCGAGATAGACAATGGAATCACACATAATGGACTTGCTCCACATGATCTGCTCTTTGTCCATCTTTGTCCTCTACAAGTAACACAGCGAAGTTTCCCACTGGGCAGATGGACCACTTGTATCACTGTTCGCATGAAGAGCGTTGGTAGTGGCCCTGGTTCTTCCACCAGCGACTGAATCACAATGCCATAGACCTTCGCATCAAACTTCTCCTCCAAACAACGATCGTGGCGCCTTCCGGTCTCTGGATCTGTTGGTTGAAAGCTCCAGCCAATGTGGAACCCGTTAATGCTTTAGCCGGGCGAGGAGCGTTACAACTGCCAAACAGTTAGACACTGTGTTTATCTCTTTGTTTCAGGGAGTAGTGGGGGTGGTCACTTTGTCAAGTGTTGAATGTTCGTTGCTTCAACGATTGAATAATAAGTATAAAACATGAATTAAGACCGTCTTGGCCAGTTCACTCCAAACCCACCGCCTCCAACCACTCAGGTGACGACACGGTGTCAAAATACGTTGTTGGGATCAAAACAGCGGTCCCGCATGGAAAAGATGATGTTGAGGGCTTGCATCGAGGCTTTGATCGGCACCTCAAGTGACGAGGCGGCCCAGGCAAATACGTGCGAGCTTAGGCGTTCGGCGGTGCGGTGCGCGACCGGGCTGGAAAATAAAGCAACGAACCGCAAAACGAAACGCGGCAAGCGTTTTGAGCCCTGGGCTTTAGATACGGTTCATTTGGATGACTTTAGATGATATAGGTTTAAGCGTGTTTAAGCCTATGAACGAGCGTCAGGCGTGTCAGCTTTCACAGCTTCTCGGTGAGAATCGAGCGACAAACATACAATCTGCACTCAGTGGACTGGTGTTGGGCCACAAACTTTAAAAAAATCACCCACAGGCAAGCTTTAACACATCCGGCGAAATCGGTGGTTCCACCGCCTTCGAAGAGATTTGTGTAGGGGGTTGTTGGGTGTTCTATTGTGTTCTTCTACAGGATTATAAAATTAAATAGTTTTGTCAGGGGTGATGTTCATAACAGGCCATTCAAACTATAGCACCTTTCGAGTGTGAGGCCTTCAAGCACTTGGTGTTGGACAATCCCTGCAGCTTGAGTCTCACCGTTTCGGGAGTTTGACCGTTTCGGGAGTCCTTCGCGGCGAAAACACGTCACGGTCTTCGTCGCCGACGTTCGCGAAACTCGTTTTTGCGAGCCACGATGTTCTCACCGCTGTTCACGTGGTGCAACTCCATCAGCAGCTCAGTCACCTCGGAGCTCGCGACGTGGGACGGACGTCTGGATCGACGTGGAGGGGCCGCTTGAGGCGAAGCAATGACTTGCGGCAAAGCCCAGAACTTGCAATGACTCATTTGACCCCAACTGGGAGTCATCATCCATCGTCATCAACTGGGAGTAAATGTGGTAAAAATGAGTCAAACTTGGACTCTCAGGGTACGGCAACTGACTGTCATCATTCTGTCCTAACTTCTGCTTTGATGAAAGAGGCATGCCAAAAGCTATTCCAAGTAGTACTCTACACAGTTGCCACTAAATGCCACTACAGTTGCCACTATAGGTCGACTACAGTCTTCATCTCCCTTTCCGGATCCAATTGCGAGTCATTTGGGAGTCGGCGTCGGACGGCTTTTCACTCAGGCCCCCGGGCACTGATGGGCGGCGCACGGGACCCGACGATCAAACCTTGGGCGGAGTCCGGGTGCCTTGCTTTTGGGGGCCTTCCTTGGGCGGGAAGCCCAACCGCGACACACCCGTTTGAACGGGCGACGGATCCAGAACGTCTAGAACGGCCCAGAAACGGAAGGCGTCCGCCACCTTGTCCTGTTCCAGCTGCAAGACCTGGAGCTACAGGGAGCAACGGGCATCGACCTCTTCGGCCAATGCGGAAGCGTGTTTGCCGCCACATGACATGGTCACCCAATGGTGACCCAATGGTGAACCAGTATATAGTGGCCAACATGTATAATATGAATAGAGACCAATCACTACCTTTTTTTCGGGTGTTGGCACCTGGATTGCTGTGAAAAAGCTTCTTCCAACGGTCTGTGCTAGCTGTTGGCAGCTGCTTCCCTTCATCACCGCTGAGCGCCCTGCAGCCGGAAGATAGTCCAGGAGGCTGTTGCCTCAGTTTTCGGCTGCAAGTGTTAGGGTTGAACTGCTATTACTTCATGTTGCTCCAAATGATCTCAATTGGGTAGCTAAATGCATCCCAAACCACTGGTCAAGTGGAATAATATTGGAAGCATTCGCAAGGGAGCGTAAAGTTTCAAAACAGATTCCCGGTCACCAGTCTGGTTCAACCACCCACCTGATCGTCCGCTTCCCTTCGCTGGTCTTCAACCACAGGCCGCTCACCATCCCCCTCAAACCCGGCCATTGGGGTCTTGCACAGGATGTTGGGACAAACCAAGCCATGACCAAACACTGCAAAGAAGAAGCTTCGGCGACACTCTCGCCGGCGAGACCGGACCAAGGCCGGACGTTTTGGGGGGCTAAGCCCTAGCCCTTCATTTCCTCGGTCCCAAACACTGATCTACGCTCCATCTATATGCTCCATCCCCCTACCGCCTACTCCTTCTCTACTCCATGGCTACCCCATCCGCTTCGATCACTGCTTCGGGACGGTCCAGCAGATCGAAGACCGGCACCAACAAGCGCGGATCATGGCTCTCCTGCAGCGGAGAGAGACGTTGCGCGAGCGAGACGAGACCGCGAGACGTGGCGCGGCCGAGGTTCACTGTGCCGCGGGCCTTGTAGAGCTTCAAGACGGCTTCTCCAAAGCCCGGCTGCAAGGGCTCGTTCCCTCGGCTGCTCCTGGCGTGTCCCACGCGGACGGTGGGTGGGGTGGACTTCCCAGCTTCGTACAGTACGGAATTCTGCCGTCTTCCAACGAAATATACAGAACTGTTTTTGGAAGATCACTTTACTGACAGAATCGTTCCGTTTTGGCAGAAAGCCAGTTCCGATGGGAAGTTCCGATGTTACGAAGAAACCCCCAAAAGGAAGACACTGAGAAGCCCCGGCATCAAGATGTTCAGCACTTTGAGGATCAAGGCCTCTGTTTGCCGCGAGGCCTCAGACCGTCTACCAAAGCGACTGAGGCAAAGTGACACGGACACCGGTCAACCCGCTACTGAACCCTTAAGCCTTTGAAACGCTGGTATACTGTTAACGGTTCCATTTGACATTACTATTTGTGGAAGATCTAGCAAGCCGTGTAAGGATTGCTGTTTTGTTTTTTGCCAACAAGTGTTTGGCTCACTTTCCATTGGAATCACTGGATACAGTGTGCACAACGTTCCACACTGGCCTTCTGCACCAGCACCAGAAGCTCCTGCAACATGCAACAACCAATCGAGCACCCTGGTGCCTTCGATGCTGCATGAGTATCAAACCTCAGCTCCGGTTTTCACAAGCAAGCCTTTAGGCTTAAGACTGGGCAAGCATCTCAGACATCAAAAAAAAAAATTGAAATCTCAGGCTCTTCTGGGTTCCATTTGGGTCCTCCACTTTGAAAGAACAGGCTGCTGTTGTTTGTTGACACGTTTTCCTGTTTCCTTCTGCTTCTTTCTGCTTCTTGGGCTCTTCCCGTTCCAACATGACCGGCGTCCTGTTCGGTCACCGGGATGTACTTCACCGCCTGGGGCGCCAGCGCCACGAACGTGGGCGCGCCAACAACAAGTGGCGGCGGCCCTTGTTTTCACGGGCGGAAAAAGCCGCCAGGTGCAGGATTGGTGAGGATGCTCTCTTTGTTGATTGGTTTGTTGATTGGTTTCTCTTTGTTGTTCTCCTTTTTTGGTGAACAAACCTGCAGCTATTTGATGCAAAGGACATCAGACATGGCCTCTCTGTCAACTGTATATTTAACCTCTCTTAAGCCGTCAAACAGTCGAAGCAAAAAGGAGGTACATCAACATTTGTCTGATCCTCGGCACCTAAATCCTTGACCCAAATAACACCTCTCTTGCAGCTGTTGCATATCTTCTTGGTCATGAATTGAACCTTAAAGGCATGGTATTCCTACCCTTCCATAGAAGCTGGTCGCTTCATCAATGTGACTCCCAAACCCCTTCATCATGGAACCTTCAAAATTGAACTGTTTTCGTATGTTTTAAAATCAAATCCATACAGGTAGTATATAGGAGGTCTCGTCAAGGAGAGGAAAGGAACCAGCCTCCTCAATGGAATTGATGAGATGCTCCTTCATCTCCTCGTCGCACTGGTGAAAGGTCTCGACGAGGCCATGGAGCAAGATGGGCCTCGCAGAGGCATTCCGGTGTCGCAAAAGGAAAGGGTGGCCCCCTTAGTGTGCGAATCCACCAAAGGAATTGGCTCCATTTGGTGAACTTTATCAAAACACCATCTGTCGCAGGTCAATCAGCTTACGTAACCTATGGCAGCAAGTCACCTAACCTGTTTTCACCACGCAGGTGCCACCCCAAGTGGTCTTCGGTGTCGCCGACCGGTCGGTCACAGCGAGCCGAGTCGGTCACAGCGCCGGTCGTCGCCTTTTGATGCACAGAGCGCCGTAGAGCCACACACGATCCTTTGGAGCGCAAATCGCACCTGGCACCGAGTTTTTCGCGCGGTGAATGGGTGCGACTCGGTGCGACTGTTTCAGAAGTAAAGCCTGAAGATCGAGAAGGGGGGGAATTCTCGATGTTGCGGCCGTTTGCGATGGGAGTTCGAGCATATTAGAACAGCTGAATATTGATTTAGACCAAGTTTCAAGAACAAGTCAAGGTATACGCTCTGAAGGGATCCACGCCTTTGAAGAGATCTGCACCTGAGGAGGGCAGCTCCAGGGAAACCCCCCTCACCACCAGATGGCCGGCTCGCCACAAACCAGCTCGTAAATGCCACGTGGATAGATTCTCAAGCAAACATATCATATTGGTGACCTTATAAGGAAGCCAAAAGCCATAAGTAGATGGCAGTTCCCGCGCAGCCACCTACTTAACCACCAAATGAGAGCTCTTCCCTGCACCCCAAACCAGTCAAAACCTTCGAGACCCAAAGTGAGACCAAGAAGTCAATGAACATTGAAGAACAGAACATTGTTTGAACTTATATATTGGATCCTACATCTGATGGAACTCTTAACTGCCCACCCCCCAAACACACGTTGATCCCGTTGGACCAGTCCGATGGTGTCCCGAGCGGCGGAGCTGCTCCAGCCGCAGGGGGATGCCAATGGCGTGGCGGAAGGAGCTCTTGGCGCTCGCTGCGGAACCTTGGTGAAAACCCCTATAGCGGAACCCAAGGGTTTTTTTTCCAGACGTCTAGACCTCTCAAAGACACGTGTGGGAAAAGAAAGGACACCATTATTTGGAAGACAAAATCCCTTTCTTTTGAGGATTCCTCTTTGGAACCATTCAACTCGATGCATCATTCAAAGGGAAACTTGTGGGAAAGCCCGACGACTTGGAACAGGTCTCGAGGCAACTGCTGCAGACCTCGCGGACCGCGGACCGCTGGTGCACGTTCACCGAGCTCGAGACGTAGCATGAGAGTTGCCAGGTCTTCGATGCAGCGACCGCGCAACCTGGGCCACTGGTGCACTGGGGTTGGCAGCTGGAGGAGGGACTTGACAGGAGTATCTGCCAAAGCACAGACAGAAGTTCTGCGGCATATATTTTCGGTGTCAAATTACATCAAGATGATGTACATCATCAATTCTAATTCTAATTTGTTACGATAGTAGTAACAAGTGCCACGCTAGTAGTAACAAGTGCCTTACTAGTAGTAACAAGAAGCTATTATTCTAGAGGTCTGGAGTTGCCACATCGTTGATGTTCGTGTTGCTTGAGCGAACACCTAGGTGGAACCCCTGCCTGTCGATCGGCAGGAAGTCCGGATCCACCAGCTCCCAGGCTGTTCCATTGGCATCCTGCGATGTCCATGGCCCATATTGAAACCACGAGACAGGAAGAGTTACATGCAAAATACATGTTCATGATTTGACTTTGTAAGATATATATGCCAGGGAATCCAAATGTGCATGTTTTTTTGTTCAAACACGTTCGCACAAAAAATCTGTGCATCCGGCCTTTTTTGTCAAATGGACAAATTTTCTGGAATTCCTCCGAATATTGGGTTTGATTGGTTTTATCAATATAATTGTTTGGGTTTTTGTCGATAAAATGTTGATAAAGTTTGGGTTTCATATGGGTACGCTTTTGTACGGTATTGTTTTTCTGTCCATACGGCTAAATACCCTAATTCGTTAATTAAAATGTCCATATACGATAAATTCTGTCCAAATACGGCTTTCGCACAAAAAAAAGTGTTCATACGCCTTTCCAGGTAACTATATATTCGATACATGGATGTTCTAGGAAACACACTGAATCGATGACCCTCTGATGACCGATCGAACTTCACCTCAGATCTTGCAGAGTCGTTGCGCAAGGCACCGGTCGAATTCATCGCCTCGGGCGGGAGGAGACGATGAGCTTCAGCATCTGAGAGATGTGGAAGCTGCCAGCCTGATGAACTCAAACACGCGACGAACTCGTCAACCTGTTGGGATCCTTTTGGACCAAAGGGCCTCAATTACTTCTGAATTCTTGTTGTTCTGCATGCAGGACAAGTGAAAGAAAACAACATGAGATCACTGGCACACTCCGTGCAGGAGACCTCTTTACATGGGGCAAAGCGTTAGTGAAAAGCACCTCTGCAGCGAAAGCGACGCCATCTCGCGCGCTTGGCCGCAGTTGGTCCGGTTCGCTGTGTCATCTGAGCACCCTTACGCATGGGAGCGCTTGGCGCTGCGTAGATCTTGTTGATGATCAATCGGATGGTGTCGAAGCGCACGACGTCCTTTTCTTCGAGCCAATCATGTAAGGACACGACGATGGCTGTGGGTCTGTGGGTCATGGCACATCAATGCACCACTAGACTGACGCACCACCTACCAGGCTCCGCCTTTCGCTACATGGTGGACCAGTCCTCGGGCGATGCATGGTGGGTCACAACCCATCCCCACATGGCCACGCAGCCAGAAACGGAGATCAAAGGAGCCAGGACTGGAGCCAGGCGAGGTCCCGCGGTCCCTCCATGTTTTTGTTTGCCCAACGTTTCGGCCAACCTTTTTGCCCAACTTTCAAGAACCACAGCAACATACAGCAACCTACTTCGGCCGAAACGTTCAAATCCAAAAAGTGCCGACAAACCGCAGAAGGCATTCACGGTCCTCTCCCGCGGAAAAGGCCAGCTTCAGGAGAAGGTTTAAGCCGCGCCAGCGACACGCAGGCTTCCCTGAACATGAGGTATAGATCATGTTCAGATCTGAGACGTGACATTGGAGCTAATCGGCCACATTTCAAGCGAGCCTCGCTGTGGTACACGTATGATATCGTGATCATCGTGGGAAAAGGAACATGTGAAGGGCACGATCGGACTGGTACATTAACTGAACAGGCTGTGCGGTACAACATGTTAAGCTCTGCTAGAAAAACGAGGATGGGCGGACGGGTTCCGTGGATAGTCTCCACGCGTTACCATCGTCACCATCATCCACGTGGAGTTCACCATCGTCACGTTTGGCGATGGAATTCACCCGCCTTCGATCAAGGCCAAGATCGTGAGAAGTGCCATCTTCCGCGCTCCTCTTCGGTTCATCTTCGGTTCGGTGGCATGGAGGATCAAATCCAGTTCCCCCTTCAGTTCCAGTCATGACGGGCACGTGCTTTTTCTTGCGATCTGATCTGTATCATTAGACTTCATCTTCCATCTGAAGGAATTGCACAGGTTCTGCCAAAGCAAACGCTCTGATCTTTATCAGAGTCCCAGGAACCTTGATGGTATCTTGAGATTCATCCATGACCAGGTTTTGTTTGCAGGATCAGAAAGAGGGGGTGGACCTGGAGAAGCAAGTCATGCAGCCGTTTATTTGATTATATATATCATATCCCCCATTAGTTTGGAGTTCGAGCATCCACAAGGCTGCTAGATGCAAAAGGAAAGGGATGGATATCGGATGGATGAAACATGATGAAAACACTCGGAGTTTCTCCGCATGGCCCAAGATGCCCAAGTCAACAAGTTGAAGCTCACGAATAGTGATAGAAAAAACACACTGATTGGAAAACATGTCCCAAAACTACGGCCTTCTCAAATCTATAGATCCATGACGCCATCCATAACGACTACCCCACTCTGAGATCCGAAGGCGACTGAGCTAAGGCTCGACAAAGCAACTGGTGACCCCTGGAGCGACCAGAGGGGGGGGGGTGTTCTCACCCGGAATCTTCCATCCCTTCCACCTGCGTTCCACATCTGGGTCGAAGGACTCCCGACCGTCATAACCTCGCAAACTCACCTCTTGACCCGTGGCACGGTGGTGGCACGTGTGCGGCGGCGGCCGGCCGCGCGCGGCGGGAGTCTCCTGGTAGCTGACACTGTGCTTCCAGCGCACGGAAGGCCGAGAACGGGACCGCCGGTAGCTCGCCCAGGAAGGTCCGGAACTCCCGCCTGCTCCGGGTTTCAGTGCGGTTTCTCCGACCTGCTCTGACCTCGAGGAACACCCATCTCCATCCGTGGCTGGGGTCGTGGGGTCTGCGAATAACGTGGGTCGGAGATGACGGTGCCACACTCAGATTGACCAAACGAAAGCAAATCGATATGCCAGTTCACGGTTCTTGGTTGCGGGCTTCTGGGTCACCAGGGAATATGACGCTGTAACAGCACCCAGTCAAACTCAGCCGCCAAAACAAACCAACGCCCACAGCCTTCACCACCCCGTCAATCACTTCCAGTATCAAATATTTAAATCTGCACCCAAAAAAGTCTTTGATCATGTGGTCTGCACTGTAGGTCCAGTACCTTGGCACGTCCCGTTTGTCGAACTCTGCGAGGCACATGTCGAAGAGCTCCTGGTGAGAAGAGCGATCTGGCAGAGCACATGGGGGAATCGATCTGTGGTCTGACACCTTTCAAGGCAGGGTGCCTCTTACTCACCGGGTAGGACTTCTTCCAAATCATCAAGGTCAAGTACTCTTAGAACAAATGCAAGTACTCTTCCTGAACACAGCAAGAACGCACGCCAGCAAGAAACCATTTTACACACATCCACGTGTCAAAACTTTTCAGGAATCCTCACCTGTGTGCCATTCAGTTCCTCGAACTTCATTACATTCATTGGATGAAATGAACAAAAACAAAAGGAATCAAAAGGTCGGTCCACCCCACCGGCCAATGTTTCATGTGCGAAACGATGGAACTTCTCTGCTGACCAACAAAGACCCCACTACCAACAACAACACTTAGACTCCTACAAGATCGCATAAACATTTCAATAATATATGATATCATACCAGGACCCTCCAAGGGGTGCCGTGTCTGGAAGCCAAAAAAGGTGGTGTGGGGAGGTTCATTGAACACCCCGACAGAAGGGTTCTGACATAAATTAACCTGAATTTGAATGTAAACAAATCCCTAGGGCTCCAGTCGGACCTTCTTAGAAGGTGGGACTGGGGTGGGTTTAGAGGGTCCAAATACCTTCTAAGGAGGTACTTGGAGGATTAGGGAATGAAAAAAACGCAACCCATCCACCCACCCCAGGGGGGGTCCACGTAGGTGAAGTCGCCGGCGGCCAGGCGTCGGGACGAGGCGCTGCCCTGTGGCACTCGCGGTTGGTGCACCCGGTCGGGCGACCGGCACACCGGGAGTCTCAGCCCGCGAGGTCAGGCGCCGACTGGAAGTGAAATGCATGAAAATGAAGGGTGGTGGAGAAAACTCCTGTTTCGATTGGGGGAAAACAGGAAGAACACCAAGTCCTTCGTGGAAGTGAATTGAATTGAGGTCGGTATGTGCGGTGCTTGGGGACAATTCAGCAGGGTGTGGAAGCGACTTACTTGTTGTTCTTCCGTTGTTCTAAAGAGTGGTCACAACCGACGTGTCCCAATGTCTTGGAGAGGTCAGCTTGTCTGTTGTTCGCGATCAGGCGAATTCATGGGCGATCGGTTCAATTCATGGAAACTGAAGAAACGGTTACACTATGTTACACTCGGTTGATGAGCCAAATCCTGCAACACCTACGGGACCTACCTGGACCTATGCCTACCTAGCGCCTACCGTTCGCGCTTCCAACGAGCTTTCTGGTGTAGGGAGAATCCACACAAGTGACCCTGAACTGAAGGCAGGGTGCAGTGCTGCAGGGGTCCTTGTCTTGACCATTTGAGCTATAGGAATTCCGGAAGCCCCCAAAACTTGGCTTGACAGGCGTTCTGCGGTGTGAGATCGACGGACCCACGACTGGTTCCCATCTCAAGACAAAATATTGGAACAAGAACAATTTCATTGGAATTAACATATCTCATTTCCCGAAACGCGCCCTTGCCCTGGAGCCGCAGCAAAACACACCTACGACCGTTTTACTACACACCAACAAGCATGGCCGGCCGGGACGCCACAAGAGCCTCCAAGATCTCCCGGAGCGGAACTCGCTGGTCCGACTCCTAGCCGGAGCAGAGTGAGTGAGAGCAGGTCCGACACTCCACTCTCGTGAGTCAGTCGAACAGGACGTGTGGGTTTCACGAGTGGGGGAGTCTGCACATAGGAGACCAAGATCAGTATGTCGACTATTGTTCAGTACGAGCAATGGATTCTGAGGTGAATAGAAGGCGGCACCAAAGCACATAGCTGCTATAGCTGAAAGGTTCTTTCAAAAATAGGGATGCCACCCCCCTTCCCAACAAACATCCGTCGTTGTAGTTAAGAAGGGTGTCCATACTCTTCGACCACCTCTAAATAACTTTAACTCAAATCATACTTGTGAGAGAAGCCTATACCAGCTCATGGCCATACCTCTGCTCGCACAGCCAACTGGTTACCAAACTCTCCAGAACTCTTCAATGCTCCATGGTACTCCCGGCACTTCCTGGGCCAAATGCCCCAACCACCGGTACAGTAGTTCGCCCGCCGGCCTGCCAGCGAGCCACATCCGTGGCGAACTTCGCGTAGAAGAGCTCCACCAAATGATCCATGGTCGCCGTGCCCTCGGGTCCGGGCAATTGAGTTGAGTGTTTCTGTGCATTTTCATCAAAGTGACGACTCAGAAACGATTCTGGCCCAGCCCACTCACTTGCTTGTAAAATGAAGCCAACCCAAGCATGCTGCCGTGCTTTGGTGCTGGTCCGATTCTTGTAAGCTGGTCCCCCACAAAAGCCACTCCCATTTAAGCGCGCCTTGTCGCCAGCCTGCAGGGAAGCCTGGCTCCGAAACATGACGACGTCTTTCACATCCATTTCACCGGGGCCCTTCTCAGGTCATTCTGTCTCCGTCTCCGTCCAACCGCGGTGCCCTACTGGGGCTTTGGGGTCACCCGTGATTCAAGAACTGACCCACCGTGCATTTGGGGAGCTTGGCATCGGCCCCTTTCCACACTCCCCCCCGAGTCTTCCTTTCATCTTCGTCACGCGACTTCACGCTCAACTCGAAGATCTCAGGTGAAATCAAACACCCAAAATCCCTATTTAAAAAAACATCCTTTGGCCAACAACCACTTGTTATGCTTCACATGGGCCGATAACTATAGCCAGCAGCGATGCTTTCCTCACCTTCAGCGCGTCGAAGGCTCGAAGCACATAAGTCTGGCACCTCGGCCGGTCCGTCGTTCGGTGTGGAGGACGGTCAAAATGGGCGGGCAAAATGGGCGTGAAACTCCTGTTTCTTTTTGCCCACCCCGCTGGGTGCTCCACATGGAGCGCTGCAAATCGGCATGCGCGGCAGTCCTTCCAGGCGACACACGCTCTTTGTTGGTTCGAACGACGACGTCGAATGCGCTCGAAACAGCAAAAAAACGGTGAAGGCCGTGCTTTCCCGTCGGCGACGTTTCGTGATCACTCGGTGGGGTGACATTTTAGGCGCCGAAAGACATGGATCCTAGGGCGCTGTTCAGCACCTCAATTGAGTGACTTGGACTCATCAAGGAGCTCCTGTATCCGGCAGCCAAGTGTAGAGACACCTGCCGGAAAATCAGGAACAAACAACTGAAGGAAAAAGTAAAAAACACCATCAAGGACGAGCAAACCACGAACCAAATCTACTGGGTCCATGTCACCAAAATGACACTTCCCTTGGTTGTTCGGTCAGATTCGGTTGGCCTGTCGGCTCATCTGCTGGTAGGACTCGAGTTGAGCGGGGAGAAAGCCATGCTTCATCAACGAGTGGTCCATTCCTGTAGACAGTTTTGCTGAGACTCTCTGTGTCCAAAAAGAGCCATGAACGAAAAACAGCACGGAACCAGAACACCAAATGAAAGCAAGAACACCAAAAACGCTTTCCAGGTGGAAGTGGGTCCTTTCCAATGAGGAAGTGGGTCCTTGCCGAGTGCCTTTTTGCTCAATCAATCTAAGACTTACCGTGCTTTGTTGTCAACACACACACACACACCTCATGTCAGTCAACATATGGTGGGGGTAGGCGGGGGCAGGCCCCCCCACAAACACAGGTTCCATACAGTTCCATCCTCTGCGATTGGCATCTTTTCCGCGCCCCATCGCGGTGCAGCTATGGTATTGACGACCCTCAGCTGCAAAATCTACACAAATTTTTTGGCTACCTCACGATTCTCCAAGCCATGGTCATAGATCCACCTTGGCTATCTATGGTGATATGATAAATGACCGATGAACTTCATTAAGCAAGTCCGCCAATATTTAATAGTGCAACTCATAGCATTTGATCCAACGGAATCCACAAAGTGCTAATTGCAGTCTGAGTGCTTCTTGCGGGCCTCCATTGCTTTGTTCCTCTTCTCCTCACCAGTGCCATCTGTGAGCTTCCATGCGACAGAGTAGACCTAGGCGATGGAAGGAGAGTCGAATTTGGGATCAAACAAAAGTGCGTGAAACAAGAGTCATAAAACAGCTGTCAAGTAGTATGGGGTTCATGTTGTCAAGTTGCTGAGTGCAACTTCTTCTTCAAAATAGTGTCATTGCTATAGTCCTCAGCTGCCTCCGTAGGTTTGGAGGAGGAGGACTTGTGCTTTGCTGTTGCATGTTTTGGTGCTGCTTTGGCTTTGGCCTTTGTTTTGGCCTTGGGGGTTGGCTTGGCCTTGGCCATGGCCGAGTGCGCCGATGTTGATGCGACTCTGCCCGATGCATTGGGTGCTGCTGTAAGCTCAGCATGCTGCTTTGGCTGCGCTGGACTGGAGTCCGGTGTGTCTTCATCTGGTTGCGTTGGTGTAATGGCCGAGTCATTGTCAGAAGAAACAACTGTTTGATCTTGTTCGTGCGGTTGTTCTTGCGAGTTTGGTGCTGCAACTTCTTGAACTACCATAGGCTCAGATTCATCCCCTGCTGGGTTCTCAGGGATGTTACAAGCATGCTCATGTCGATCATCTCCAGGCCCATTTGCAAGGTCTCCGCCCAAGGGTGCAGCTGCTGCCTCAATTGCCAAAGCAGCCTGATAGGCTTCCTCTTCCTTTGGAGTGAAGCTGTAGCTGTGGGTGTCCATGTGGTTCTGTATTGCCACAAGGGCATTGTTGATAGATCCAATCGTCATGGCCACAGCTTCCGATGAAACCAACCCACAGGAATGAGCAGTGGCAGCAGCATCCAAGCTTTGCTCCGCATGTTCTGAGAAAGCCTTGAGGTCTCCGGCAAACTTTCCAACATCAGGAAACTCCATATTTTCCTTGGATGGATAGTGCAAACACGTGCACCTAGTAGCAAACACATTAAAGTACACTTAAACCCACGATGTGTTTCCAAAATTGTCATTTTTGCATAATGCAAACATTTGGACTAATGTATGGATTGTTGCGGACTTGTGGAGAATAAGAAGTTCACCCCCACATTGGTCTTGTTGGGTACTATCTTTAGTTTAATCACTGTGGAGTTCCTGTGTTTGCAATCGAAAGGGAGTATATATGATTTGTGTGACACAGTTGCCGACACTTCAGCATTGCAGCCATGATGCTCCTATCTCAGGAAAGAGATCTCGAGCCAGACTGGAAATGCTGGTGGGATCTTCAATGGATAGCTCCTCAGTCGCATACGGGTATCAGGGTTCATTTGGGGGGGACAGAATCTTGCCTACAATTATTGTGATCCAATGTGAGCCAACTACTGTATACCCTTTTCCTAGAGTCCAGCCGAGAAACGGGGATTGGATTGGTGACATCCTCCGGGCGGTGCTTCTCCAGTCCTGAAGGTCTCAAAAGGTGGGTTGAATCTTCAGCTCACACATTATGAACGCATATGAACGCATCCGCATATCCCAAAAGGTTGTTCTCGCTGTTTGCAAAATTATCCCAAAGAAACTGTGAAATTTCAATCACGCCAAGGGCAAGTGCGTGTCTGTCCTTCGTAAGCGTAAGCCTTGTTCCAAGGAGAAATCTCTAATCCAAGCTGGTTCTCCGGGAACTCGAGAATGTTCATCATAGTATTTCCACTCCTGAGGTCCATTGATGGTTGGATCAAAGGACAAGTTGAACTTAGACTGACATGGCCTGGAATTACTTGAAAGGGCTATCGGCGGTTCTTAATTCTTTCAAGTGTCTGAACGTCGCCGCTGTTGTGTTGCAATGCAATCTCGAACCCAAACGGAGTAGGATGAGTAGGCTGATCCTGGATTGAACGAAACCACATTGAATACTTAACCCAGAACATTTGCCAAATTGTTTTGAACTGAGTCTGGCGTTTGTATCACACCATATCACGCATATCATGCTCACCTTGTCCTCGCTGGTGATGAAGTCGCCATGCTTGCGAGGCTTGGTGGACGGCTTCTTCTTGGCACTGTTGCACGCAGGACGCTTTCGGGGATTCGGGGCAGGTCTTGAACTATCCAAGCCATCATCGTTCCCTCCACTGCCCTGACTATCAGGATCACTATCATGGTCATCCGAGTCATGTCCCCCAAGAGGTTCAAACTCATTGTCAGGTTCTTCATCCTTTTGCTTCTTGGATTTGCCGGACTTAGCTTTGGCTTTGCGTTTGGGAGCTTTTTTCTCGTTGGAGCTATCATCAGAAGCCCCAACCCGAGGAGGTAGGGCATGCCGGAGAACTCCTCCCCATGAACGAAGGAAAAAATGGATACAAACGTCACCATGACTGCATGCCATGACATAACTTTACCCAAAGTCTACCCATTGGGCGAATGTCCTGGTCGACTTGTCAGAGGATTGAATGGAGCTGCATCAGAAGCAGCTGGATCCCCAGCAGCACCCGCAGATGCTGGTGCGGACGGTGTAGGCCGATGTTCTGGTGTTGAAACATCTCTGCCAGACAGCAGTCTGTGCAGATCGAATGCCTCACTTGGAGATCTCTATGAGATAAACATGACTACTTTGATGTGTTGGATGTCCAAGTGTTGGAACTTACGCTCACTATCGGTTGATACATTTGGCACACACGAACGAAGCTTGGTGAAGCATCATGACACATAATAAAAGCCATGAATGGACCGAGAGACTGGGCGGTGGAATCCAACTGTAAGTGGAACTTCTTGGACTTCATCAGAATCGGAACCCATGGCTATGAAATCACACAAACGTACTGAAATCGGCGTTTCGGCGTTCCCCCGACAATGTACGAACCTGCTTTGCAGCCAGAAGTCATGTTTGTCATGCATGCAGTCACACACAAGTGCACTAAGTGCACTTTCTAGAAATATCAATTCGATTGACTTCAGAGTGAGGGTGAAGCAGAACGTTACCATTTTGCATCTATACCCCCATTCCATGTGCGCGACGAGTTAATGCAACGATGCCTCCTGATGTGTTCAGCGTGCTGGACAAGCAAACATTGAATGTGGAAGATATGCGAAGGTTGAATCTCCACACGATTGATAGGACCAATAATTTTAGAATAACTGCCTTTCCCAACTATCACCAAGCTTGCCCAGACACCAACACGCTGTTGCTCCGAGGCACATGGATTGCCAACAGAAGCGGCCGGCGGCAAGGCCCCAAACAGTGAGTCAAATGACAAACGATGTCAAGATCGACTCAACCCCTGCTGCGTAGAACCGCTTTAGAGTGTCCTCCCTTCCATGGCAACATCACATGGCAACATGTTGTATTCTTATGGCAACATATGGCAACTATGTTTCTTTATGACCGTAACCAACATCTTTCAACCAGCATCCATATTTCCGATTAATAATAACATTGGAAAAGAAAGGATTGACACCTACATCATCCTACACGATCCTACATCATGCGGACTGAGGTTTCACCCAAGTCCATACACTGGGTCAGGCACATGACCGGCCTCACTGGGGTAATGACTTTGACTCCCTGGTCATTGGAGGAATCCAGCCTGAGATCAAGAATCCCTCCATTTCTGAGCGTTTACTGTACACTATGTCAATTCTGCACCTCCAGGATGTCAATTCTGCATTTTTTCTGCAGCAAAGACGCCTGCACCTCCAGGCTAGGGCCAAGATCTGCGAATTTTTGACTTTGGCAATCTGCAGGTGCGATCCGAAGTTCTTGGTCGTGATGCCTGGGGTTTTCTTTGGTTTCTTAGTTTTCTTAGGTACCTTCTCTTCTTTGGCCACTGGCTTGCGGGGTACTTGTACCTCGTCGGCCACAAACACCAAGGGTTTGGCATTCTTCCATTCCGCGTCCTGACTGATAGTGTGGTGGGACACCTCGATCTTGACCTTGGATGTTGTCAATGATGTTAAATGATGGCCATACATATATTTGCAGAGATGAAATTGACCATTGCAAGTCTTTATTGGATGAAGTACCAACAAGAGCTATGAGATTATAACTACATTGCTATGAGATTGAAGTACCCTCCATGTGCAGCCCCATGACTTCTCCTGCATCCTCTAGATCGTTGAGCACAGATACGAAAGAGGCGGGTGTTTCTAGGCACTCCAATCCAGAGAGGTGCTGCGGGATCGATTTCCGCTCCAGAATCATAAGGTCAAACTTTTTGACACAGAAGGACAGCCATCGTCCTTCAGCATCATCCATGACTTCCTGACCCTCCTCAGAAGAGATTGAACCAATCAAGTTGGGCAAAGGTTGTCCCCTACAGCGATTTAGTTGTTGTGAGTTACAAGAGTTTATAGATTTGGCATGATTTGGATGTGTGACCACAAGTTGGCACAGCATGTCAATGTTTATTTTCCTTTTGCATCCTTTAGTTGGCAATAAGAGATGATATAATGGTAGTCAAAGGGTTCACGCCAAGCAACAGGTCCGTCACGCCATTCTCCTGGTCCAAAGCTGAACCTCACATTAGAAAATTTGCGTATTATGTTTAACCCTGGAATAGATATAGAGGTCACTTTGCGAGTGAAGGTTCGGTTGTGGTATTTTTTGTTTCTATGTGATATGCAGTAAAGTGGCAACTCCCTGTTCTGAAGGAATTGATTCGTTCCACGAGAAACCATGTAGAGACTCTTCCCCTCCTCATCCGTGATCATGTCGCAGATGTTGTTCAGCGACAGAACTTTCCTCGAAAGGGGGGTTGATGATAACTGCATTGCATGACACGCAAAAAGGATCAAACAGGCCTGGAAAGAAAATAGCTTTTCATGACAGTCAAACCGGCCCATGAAAATCAGATAGCTAAAGGCTCGATAGTGGGACAAACGCCAATGTTTTTTGAGACATGGCACGGGTTGGCCAACTTCGAAACTTCCTCAGAGCTGCAAGACTCGATCTTGATCCGCTTTGCAGGCCGCTCCTCTGCTGTAGCTGTTTCAACCGCAGGTTCAGGAGTCCTTGGTATCTTGGCACTCGACTTAACTCCGGGACTTCAGGGTTTCGACTTAATTACCAAAGCAACTTTAAAAGATACAAACTTGCTGGGGGAATCTTGGGCGAAGGCCCTCTGCAATCCAGTAATCTCCATGTGCATTGAACTCCTTGTTGTGCTCGTCTATCAGAGCCTTGGCCTTGTCCGAAGTGAGTTCATTATCTAACCACTTCTTTGCCAGCGCCTCAAGCACCAACAACTTGTCCAATCGTTGAGCGCTGACCCTGAACGATTTTGTCTTCTCAGACATCTGACCACTCTTCAGGGCGCTGAGCAAGGGCTGAAAGGATGGGAATGAGGGCACAGTAAGACGACCTGCCCTTGCATCCTCGTAGACAGCGTTGGCGACCCTGTGGTTCAACTCCACTCCGCTGTGGTCTAAAGTGAGAGTTGCGCAAGTAGCGACGTTACCCTCTCGGATTTCCTGCACTGAAGGTGGGGGGTAAAAGCCTGGGTGGATGTGCTACAACCAGTTCATGCATTATATTTATGCAATGAATGAATTCCATGAATTCCCCAATAATTTCCAAGTCTTGAGGTCTAACACCCAGACTTAACTTTTGTGGGGAGTTGTGAGCTTTTTAAACCAATCCAGCCTCCAAAGCTGCCAGTGCTACAAACCCATCATACCCCGCCATGTCCACCAACAATGAAGCTTTTGAAGTGGGCATAGAGAACGCTTTCAAAGTCTCTCTGACGAAACTCGTTCCAGCAGCCACCTCATGGTTTTGATTTTTTGTTGCAAAAAAGATCCAACTTAAATAAGCATCACATAATCAACATGAAATGGGACCCCCAAGCAAAACCCGACTTGTCAAATTGCAAGTAGCCTGCTTCATCTCCTGCACGTCCGTCATGGCTCGTCCCATATGAGGCAACTTCGACTTCGGAGATGCTGCCTTTGATTGGAGGAGAGATGGCCGACTGCATGGGGGGCCAGTGGAACCGCAAAGTAATACCATCTACTATTAAGTAGAAAAGTGGCTGACAACTCAAAATATTGACTTCCAGAATCATTGCTGCTGCTGTATTATATACTTTAGGCTACTGTAAATTTCTCTTTCAAGATGACAGAAAGAAACGAAATATCCCGAAAGAAAACTTCTCAAAGAAACCAAAGATCCACCTCAGGCTTGTACATTTCATTGCGGGGGCACATACGAATGCCCATCACCACCCCAGTTTTCCAGCCATGGGTTTGCCTCATGCGATTTCCTTCATTCTTGTGCGTGATCGCGATGCCTGAAATGACCCCGTCCCGTCGCCCGTAGACAGTGTCCTGGGCATCAACCAAGAGCGTCCGACATACAATCCAGATCTGTTTGAACATCCCTGAGACCCCAGACCATGAGACCGTTCCAAACAGAACATTCTGATCATCGTTAGAAAGCCAAGGGTCCGGTTCAAATACCCATGTGACATTGCGGAGCTTGAGATTGCGATCTTTCATGGCGAGTTGTTTCCTGGGTCGCCAAAACGCAGGGTTCATCCAAGTGTGGGGCTTTTCTTCTGTGGAAAACATAATTATCGCAACCACATCAAAGGGTTGTTTTTGGAGATTCTCATGAAAACATGGTAACCTTTTGAACCTTTTGAGATAAGATTCTCAAGGTTGTAGGTGACATCCCTGACCTCAACAGCCTCAGATTCCTCCTTTCTCTTACATTTTTCATCCACCTCGGACTCTGACTCTTCGGCGTCCTCATTCTTTGTCTCCTCGTCCTTCATGACCTGGTCCTTGTCTTTCTCCTGCTTCACATCAGCTTTCCTGCAACGGATGCACTCAGGGGCGACATAGTTCAGCCTTGCGAACCACCCAATCAGGTTTCAATTCTAGCGACAGTTGTGAGGATCTGGGGGCCTGGTTTTCATTGAGCAAACACACGACATTTTGTTGCATGTACCGTATTGTCAATAAACGGCAATGGAACAACCCCTGTCCTGCTGCTTTCCAGCTGTCCAGCTCTGTTAGGCTTCACCAGATAACATACTCCATTCAACTGATGATCCGCCAACGTGTTGGTGATAAAGTTGAGCAGGAAGCTGATTCTTGAAGCTGAAAGGATCCCCATAGCTGGGCAAATGCAAAAGATGACTATGGAGTGGTCATCCTTTGAGTTGCCCAGCTCAGCAGCCTGCTCCTTCAACCATGACCGGGCTGACGGCATCAGCGTCGATTCGGCATCGCTGCTCTTTCCGGCAAAGGACATGAGGTGGTCACAGCAGAAGTTGCGAACGCAATCCCAGGCCCGGGTGTGACATTCCTGGTCGACCGATGGAGTTTGATGTGATTCTGGGCCCCTGGGTTTTCATATTCTTATTAAACTCATCCCCATGTAAAAGGATACATAAGTGGATTTTGACATACATTTTGAAAGCCCAAGTCCTCGAGCTGTCGAACAAGCTTGGCGCGTGTCTTGGCACCCTCCTTTTCCATCCTTGGAGCAATGAACAAGTGTGAAACCACAACCAACATCTATCTCACCAAAGGTTGGTTAAACTCATGACATTCCTGGGGTTCTATCGATTCAACGCAAATATGTTGAACATGTTTGTTCACCACAACTGGTATGTGCTCTTCTCACTGTAGAAACTAACATTCAAAACATTGTTTAATCCTAGACCAGGTACAGGATCTTCTCGGAAAGAAATTCTGTCTGATCTGCCTTTAAATCTTCAACCCATGAGGCGAAGGCCGCTTCATGGGATCGGGCCAGTGCGTTTTTGGCCTTGTCTTGATGTTCTTGAACGTAGGTCTCAAGCGTTTTCCCGTGCGCCTGCGACAGGGGACAGGATATCACTCTTATATATTTCTTGAGGTAGTAGATAAGTTGTGAGTAGATTCAAACTACCTTTAAAATATGATTCAATTGCAGCTCAATGATATTTTGTGCGCTGATTCCTATTTAAAGCATTTTCCATAAACCAAATATTATTGAGTGGCTGAGCGCATGTTTCTTTAACTTTTCTTCTGCCCAAAGTTTCTGGTTTCTGGTATCTTGCCCAAATTTGACGATGAGAGAGCAAACACTACCCAGCCTCGAGAAGGAATGGTAGGCGATTGACATCAAAGTCCTCACCGGATCTCAGCACTGACTGCAAATCAGAGTCCAGCAACCTGCAGGTTTCAGCAAAGAGGACACAGGTCAGGGAGCAAGTGAGGAGGTTGAGTTCCTTCCAATTGACAACCGATATTAGAGAGCCGATGAAAATGAACCAATGAATCAATGTAAATAACGCAAAACATAGGATTACACATTGTCTAAAAATCTGAAAGAGCATCAAACCTAAAATTACACATTGTCTAAAAGTCTGAAAGAGCATCAAACCTAAATTGAAATTACCAAAACAATAATAAAAATGAGTCAACAAAATGCAACCGAGCGAAAATACCAAAAAACATCAAAAAACCAATGACAACCTCCACTTGAAATTCATCATCCCAGTTGTCATGGGGTTTCTGGAGAACCAAGGACAAACCCATTGGTTTTGGAGGAACCCATGATGGACTAGTCTGTCAAATTCACCAACGGACATTCCTTGAACCTTCCATATACCTTATGATTGTCCTTGGTTCTCCAGAAAACCAACGACAAATTGACGCATAAGTTTGCCCCCAGAAATGTGATCGATTCCTAGCCAAAGATTTTTGGCGGGTTAATGCGGATTGTGATCGATGTTCTGGAAAACCCACGACAGCCAGCCAAAGATTTTTGGCGACCCATGATGCCCAGCCAAATATATTTGGCGACCCATGATGCCCAGCCAAATATATTTGGCGACCCTTGATCCTCCAATGCTTATTATATTTTATTTTCTTCTATTGAAGCGCCAAGCAACCCCTGTCGGAAAAACTCGTCATGTTGGTCGATTACAGATTGGGGGAACATATCCTGCATCTTGTTCTTCACCCAAATCCAGAGCACACAACAGTCGTGGAGCAAGATCTGGCCATCAAGATCAAGCTGATTCATTTTCTGAACAGGGTTTGCCGGGCTTAGGGATGTTAACGCAACAATGCAGAACAAATCATCATTAAACTTGAACGGACCATTGGGAACAAAGTATGGAACCCGCTCCTTTGCTTTGAACGAGGCGTCTTTGGAGACTTTCCTTGCAAAGTCCTGGCCAATTTCAGGGTTGGCAGGTGGCTTTCAAAAAGACCCATTTCAAGTCAACCCAAAATTGAAACCCTATAGGAGGATTGACTTAAAGATAATTTTGGCAGTTGGTCCTGTGTCGTCCGGCTGAAAAACAGCATCACAGTTTCCGGCGTCAGCTGCATGATCTGTTGAAGCTGCTTGCTCCCGCGATAGTGATCACTCCGCACAGGTAGATTGGGCACGTAGAAATCTTTCTCCAAGATTTCGTGGGGGAGGGCTGCAACAGGGTGCGAACATAAACATGTAAGCTTTAAAAACAATCAAACTGTTGCAGGTTCAGGTTCAACACAAACTAAAGGACACTATTTTTTTACAATCCTTGCCTGAGTGTTCATGTTTGAACTGATCGTAATGTGCATGGAGCAAGGTGAGCGATTCAGCTGGGCAGCGAAGCCTGAATACGATCAAACTTGCAGAAAACCAAATTATTATGAACATTGAAAAACAATCATGGGTACAAATGTAAAAATATGAGGATTAACAATCCAAGGTTCAGGTTGTATGCCAAATTGCGCCGTGCGGTGTCCACCCGGTGTCGTTTCAGGGTGACTAGCCGGTTGAAGTCTGCGATGACTTTGTTCATGGCGTCTTTGAGAGGAATCCGGGTTCGACTGGTGGACATCGCACGTTCCAGCTCAATAGCCTTTCCCAAATCTGACACGATGGTCAATGGGCTGGGCGTGAGCTTTTCCGCCGTAACAAATCCCATTTCTTAGATATGAGAAGCGGTTCACAGATAACATCTAATAAACATTTCCCTACACAACGATGACAACTAAGAAAAAGTAAGATTCCGTTTCAAGCAACAAGCTTCTCAATGAGTATAGGAAATGGTGTGCAGGTTGCTGAAAATGGGAGTATGAACAATGCACAGTAGCGAAGCTGTGCAATGTAGCCTCCAAGGGAGAGTCTCTCGGAACCTCAAGCTCAAGCTCCTTGACCATCGCAACAATGCTCAGCATTATTACTATTTTTGCAAATCCATCAACCAGCCCCACCGAATGTGGTGGGATGGTCCGTGTCGAGTCCCGGAACGGAAATTTCACTTCGATCGCGCCAAGATGTGGCTTGTATCCGTAGCGTAAGAACTCCCCAAAGTGCTTCTTGAACTGCTGGTTGCTCGGATAAACTTCAGGGAGCAAAATTGTAACACCAAACATGATTGGGGCGGAACACTTTATGTTAAGCAGGAAACTTAGCGTATTGAAAACAACTTTCATAACCCTGGACATCCACTCTTCGCAGAAGGGCTGTAGTCGAAGCGATCCAAAGCCAGCCAAAAGCTGTGGTCAGAGGCATTGGGAATCAACTGGGTGTGAGCCTTTGTCTGTGGGACGATTGCATGTCTCATTACAAGCTCATCGATGGCCTCCGCAGCTACCAGACATGCTTCCCAAATGCAACATGTTCTCCAAATGATTCACTGTGGACTCAGCTAAACAACCATGCCTCACTCATCCTGGCAGGCTCGGGAAATCTCGATTGCAAATAGTCCCCCAAGTTCTTGACAGCCACAACCTGAAAACGTATAACCCCGCAGGAGTGCAAATCGACCGTTCCGGGCAAACAGCAGTTTAAGCATCCGAGAAACACTTTCAAAGAGGGCCATGATCTTGTCAAAAACATCATCACCACCCGAATCGGCTTGCGTGTCCATTTCCAACGTGAGGCACCAACTAGCTGAAACTACCCCTGTGAAAGTTCAGCAAAACCTAGCAGCATAAATACGACAAACAATTCCACTTTACCCGGATCAGTGTCAAGTTGAATGGATTGGTGCACAGCAAAGAGAAACACATTAAATCATTTTGGCCGCCATTTACCCCATTTAGCGTGCCCTGTGGAAAACCACCTGCAGCTCATGTGGCTTCGGAGCCGGTGGGTTGCCCCGCAACTGAAACGCATGCCAGTCCTGTTGACGGGCAGATGCATGCCTCAAAAACGACAATTGAGGAACCCGATCAAATTGTGGCGTTGCCTCTGGAGTGACGAGAAGCTGCTCATACCACCCCGCCGCCCTGGCAAGGTGCGGGAAGTCAAATTGGATGGCACGTCTAAGGGCGCGCAGCTCATCCCATCTTTCAGCCTGAATTTTCCATGATCGCAATGGGCACCTTGCACTGTTTGCATCCAAAAAGCACTGCTGGGTCGAAGGCAAAAGGCTTGCTGGAAACACTAGCAATGGTATTTGTGACAATGATCTTGCTGCCATCGACTCCTTCACCAAGCAAAAAACATCATCTGGAGACCTCCCATGGTCAGGAGCCCTCATATCACGAGGGACACGCTGTGAAAGTTCAAGCCCTTGCCCTTGATCAGGAAGCCCTGTTCGTGGTACAAAGGTGAACGTTTGGGGAAGTGGCTTCCGAGGATCCTCATCATCATCATGGCCATACTTGAGTTTCCGGGCACGGAAAGCATTTCGAAAGGTAACCCGGTCTGGCACAAAGGAAACCCAATCTCTGACCTTAAGATGGCCGGCCAAACAAATTGTAAAGCAAGTTTCATGTTCCCAGTTGGTCCCAAAAATAAAAATACAATTTGCATCAATTTGCAAAATTGGAGTGTGTCAAGACACAGTATCCATGATCTCAATGCCCCAAGCTAGATTTTTTGCAGCGAAAATTGGAGACATTCGGGCATCTATCAACCTCTGCAAATCCCTGGGTGTTTGCAAGGAGCTTGCTGGCGCTGATCGTATAGCTGAGGTCACTATGCTGAACAGGGCATCTATATCTTCGTGAGTGTGACCCACCCGAAGGTGGGCTTCAGTGCAGGATGCAAAGTAGCTTCCCTGGGCCAATGCAGATAGTACGCGGGATCCATATTGATTCCGGAATTCCTTTACGGTGTTGTCACACTGTAGCCAGAACCTTGTCATGTCCGGGAGGCTTCCAAAAGTTTGGATATTTCGATACTAATAGCGCTTCCCAAAGTAGCACCAAATAAGCAACGATTACGAAAGGGAAGCCTAGCTACTCTGCAGGAAATGGAGAGCTCTTGGCTCTGGTCCTGACCCACACCTTTTCCAATGATCGCATCACCTCAGAATACAAAATATAGTCTATTTTTGAACCATGTGTCTGACTAGCAGTATTCCTGGATTTTATGCCAGTTGGTACAATCTTAAGCCAGGCTTGAAGACAAGGCGCACATTCCCAATTCCAACTTGAGCCGCACCCAATTCCCTCAGCGGCAGCCAAATACATCCAACAGCCCTGCCCATGGCACAAGACTGCCGTCAATGTGAGCGACACTCCTAAGTTGAACGATGCGCTATCACACCAAATAGTGAAGAGTACACCACATATAAACCTCAACCCATAGTACAAAGAAAATGTTGCTCAAATTGCGCATAAAGTAATTGTCAAGTGTCTCAAGCATGTTTGGTACACTGGCCGCTTTGGCACCCTGTTGTATGGGAACTTCGGTAGGTACAGCTTGGATCTGTCAAAGGAGTCAACAATGCATGTCAGAAGGTCACCAACCTGGGAACTCCGATCTCTAGCGGACCAGTACACTTCACGGTCGCGCCACTGTGCCGTGTAGTGGGCCAGCAGCTCTTGGCACTTCTGGGCATGCAATGCGAAATCCTTGATTAAGGCTGTGGGAGTGACTGCAAATCCCAAACATTGGCTGAAGGTATATCCACTTCAAATGTCAAACAAACTCATGTACCACAAAATGTTCTAAATCTAAATGCGCAGTGTCTGTTGCATCATGGATTGAAGCTTTCAGGGTTTGGCACACTACGCACATAGAATGCTCTGATTGCCGCCTGAAGCGAAGACAAACCCGCCACTCTTTGGCAACTTCGTAAAATGTTGATTTAGAAGCGGGTGCAACTCCAGATGGTCGCATGTAGGCCAGGTACATCAAAAACAATGAAGATGTGTTGCCGGGGGGGAGTTCACGTAATGGTAATGAGTCTGGCTTCAGCTCCATGACTTGACGACTTGGACCCAAGAGCTTGTGTTCAATCAACTTCTTCAACATTTCTTCACGAAGGTGTTCATCGCTTTGCGATAGTGCTGTTGCGCCTGATGATTGAAACCTTCACACAGCAATGCTGTGAGTTTGAAAAGGTACACTGTACACCAAAACAAGGAAAAACAACTAGGGGGAAAAATAGGGGAGAACGTCCCATGTCCCAACTTGAAGCCAATAAACTGAACCGGCATAGATTCTGCAGCTGTCCACCAGATATGACTGAAGAAGCCGTGAACAGATGTGCTTTGGTGCGACCGCCCTGCATTTCCACCTTAGTTGTGAAACGACCTACCACCCAAAGAAGAACATTCAGGGGGATAGCTGAATATCACCAAACTTCAAAGCAACACCATTCAATAAAGTTCCACTAAGACGCTTGGAACCAATGTTCGGTCGTCAACACCGCGGAATCGTTTCTAGGTTCTTTGTAAACGCTGTTTGCCGATGCCCATAAATTTCAGCCAGGTTGATCTACAGACTGGATATCCTGCCAGAGTTTGGATAATTAAGGGCGACAGCGGCCATTTTTTTGAACACAGAAAGATAGAAAGTAGTTGTTGGTTCAACATTGTTCAGCCAACCCTGTCCTTCGATGCTAAACTTGTTTTTGTGACCCCTACCTGCTTCAATCTGTAGTGACCAAAGGAAGGCATCTTGTGCCTCTTTGGGAAGACCCCAAAACGAAGCACATACTTTGGCAATGACCTTGAACGGTATTGTGCAGCCGCAGGAGCACCCCGGGTTCTCGACAAGCTTCCGCAACCTGCTACCATCCTGCCCATTCAAAGCATAGGAAGATGCATCAGCTGTTTCTCCCTTGGCATGCAGCACTTGAAGCGCCCCTAGCTTCACTGCAACCTCTCCACTTCCAGATTGTTCAGAGGTGGAAGTTGAGCTGGACTCTGAATCTGAATTTGATTCACCCCTTAGATTATTGGGAGCGTTGGGAGGCTACCATCCAGAAACAAAGGAAAGGAACCTGCAGTAATAACAAAAAAATGTTTTAACAAGTTTCAAGTTACGAAGAGTCCGAAGGAGAACCCCCTTGAGAATCAGAGGAGTCATCGTAACGCCAAACCCGCCCTCTTGCAGCAGGCACCAGCTGATCTGTGGCATCATCATAGCGCCCCAAGATGCCCATTGCGCATCCCGGCTGATTGGCTGAGGGTGTGGAACTAGCTTTAACCACCGACCCTAGTGTTTGGTTTGCGTGACCCTAGGCTACATTCATCCGAGTTGGAGGCAATGTCGTTGGACAATAAGCTGTGGTTGAATTGAACGCTTCATCTCAGCCACAACTTGACAGAATAGTTTTCAACTAGACACGGTTCAAACTCCCACTAAACCAACCTACAAAAACCCGGTCCTCATTTATCTATTTCGCTTCAAGTTCAGGAAAACAAGGCAGCTTTTTTCACACAGTGGCACGAGGACAGAGGTTTGTTGCCAGCGCTTAATTGTTGCATGGTTCGCTAATTTCAAGCCAAGTATTCTTGTAGTTTCTCAGGGTCCAGGGGCCGCAACACGATTGCAAGGGCAACGAACAGCACATGGACGGACATGCTGTTGCCACCCAACCGCATCAAGTCCTGCAGGCTTTTTGCTGCCAAATCAGCGGCAATGTGGAACCACAGAAAATGCAGCAACTTGCGACAACAGAAAACAGATTCTTTCCCATAAGATTAGACAGACTAGAGTCTTTGGAAGAGAAGTCGTTCAATTCCAACTCATTGATGCGGATGCCCATAAGAAGCAGGCATTCAGCTCCTCGGTGCAGTTGTTTGATTTGACTTCTAACCTCTATCTATTTGTAGCTACATTGGCAAAGATGGCAAACCATAACCACGAGTTTCCCCAGCCGAGTTTCCCGTGAGAAATCGCTGCTGGTCCGCGATGAGGTATGTACCACCAGGCCTCAACCAAGCGATTTTGGAGAACAAAGGCCCGGGACATTGATCAGGACATATCAGGACATTGAATGATACAATGTGGTAGAACATATGCAATGGCTAGGGGTCTGACGTCAGTGTCATAAGCGGAGAGTTCCCATAAACAGCAGGCATCCGATGGATGCTTTGACTCGTATTGATGGCCTCAAACTTTCCCTTGTGGGCAAACACCAGCTCCGCTGCCTGCGTACAAGCTGGCTACCACTCACAACATCTCTGTCTATCTAAGATCATGAGATACTCAACAGCACACAAGATGTGTGACAGGAACAATTGATGATACCCCACCACACCTGCAACTCCCGCTTCGATGTGATTTGATCCGCCGCGTGCGGAAAGGTGGAAGCAAAAGACCTCGCAGCCTTCTTCATATTCACCTGAGCGGATGTTCGTTCGCAGCAGTGGGTTGATGTATGGAAAAAACACAATATTCCGTAAGGTGTGTGACCCCAGCCAAGATACCCGTTTCTCTTTGGCCCAATCACGGTGCAGCTGTGGCCATTTGAATAGTTTCATCGGTTTCTTCCTGGGTTTGATGGTGTTGGTAAGAAAGTTGGTAAGAAGGGTCGGAAGGAGAAAAAGCAGCAGGCTAGAAAATGAATCACAAGACTCTCAATCACCATCTCCCCACTGTGCCAAGAAACTGTCCCGCGTGTTTGTTTCGGACTCCTGGGCACTTCTTCAAATTCTTCTGCACATACCAGTGGTCTCGTGGGAACAAAAGGTCTTGCCTAAGTTGGCAACTGTGTGTGATTGGTTTTCACAACCTTCTGCAAGAATGCGAAGCAAATTTGATTTGGCAGACAAGCTGCCAACGCACATCACATGGTTTCTGGACAGCTGAACAAACTGTGCTTGCAAAGCCCCCCAAATCTCCCAGCGACAAGGACTTCATTACCAGGATAATGTACACCCTGGGTCTTGCAATGGGGCATCCGTAGTTTTGCCTTGGATCATTCCATTCTATCGTTGCCTTTCTTACAGTAGGCACTCACCAAAGGTTGAAATCCGAGCAGCGGATCAAGATCCACAACATGTGCTTGGTACCTGGTGGAAAGATATATCAGCAGGCTAGGGTAGATTTGATCATGATCATCTAGAGCACCCTTGAAATCTAGAGTCCGAGGGTCTGTTTCAACTTCTCTTGGATCGCGCTCAGAAGTGTATCGATGACACACTTGAATCCCTCAACGTTCTCGAGCAACGCTGCCTCATTAAGCTAAACATGATTTGGCTAGTGATGTTCTCCTTGCAAAAGGTAATCAAAAAAATTGCCAAGAGACGGCAGGTTTGATTTGTTGAATGTGATGGAGAACTTGCCACATCTGAGCTGCGTTGGCATCGTCCAATAACAGTCGCCCACCCAGAAGGGAGTATGGCGTGCAGGGGAAGCCTGCAGCATAGATTCCCACCTGCCAGATACCATTGCTTCATTACAGATTGGTTGGGGTATGATTAAAGCATTGAACTTCTGTAAAGTATATGCTCGCCTTTTTCTTCAAAGGCCCACAACGAAGATGGAACATGTCTTCAGTTGTCCTGGACCGCAACTTCATGATACTTTCAGTGCTGTGAGAGTTGGTTGCAACATGTTGCCCAACATGTTGCAACAATGTTCAATCAAGGTGCTGCATAGGTGGCGTGTGGTTCACATTGAGGAAGCGCCGAGCTGTTGCATCCATTTCGCTGTTAGACCTGATTATCGATTGGGTTGGGCAAAGTTAATATGAGCGATCAACTGACAATCACACAATGAAACTCATCATCAAATAATTGGAGCAAGCCCAACCTATATTGGTCGAGCTGCAAGTACTTCACCTTGCACTTTGGCCCCAAAAGCTGCTGCAAGGCAAATAAGGGCGCATCCAACCCGCTGCCTGGGTTGGGGAGTGGGCCGGCAAACGGTTGATTCTTATTGAAAAGACACATTGAGAAAAGTGTTTTTGAGTAAGTTCAGCTTGGCTGCAATCGCTAGCATAGCCCAAGGGTCCATTGAAGGTTTGAAGAAATGCATCCAAACCTCATTGGATAACCAGGTGCCATGAAAGATTGTAAATTGCAACATCCCAACATGGAATTCCGGGTTTGTTGACTTGTGCTGGCAAGGCACCAGCAGCATCTCTAAAGTAGGATGCGCGTCCCACATAGTCGGCTTGTAGAGGAGTAAGAAGGAACTTCTCCAGGTCCACCTGTATGGGTCCAAGAAACAAAACTGATCGGGAAACCACAAAATCCAAATGCGATTCTCTTGGGTGCCTCAACCTCTGAATCGGAGACTTCCCTCCAAACCGGCATGGCGCACAAAAAGACGCCGGGACTGGGCAAAACGTGGGCTGCAGGATGATGGCAACCAAAGCCCCAGTTGCAGTTTGGAAAAGACCCGGTTGCAGTTGGACTTCCATCAAAGTAATACTAATATCTGTTATATAAGCATCCTTTTGCAAATAGACATTAAACATCATTAAACGCTATATAGAGCTCTAAATATCGTGGAATTACCGGTGTACCTAGGACCGACTTGACTTTGATAAAACCAGGCTCCAAATGCTGAACTCTCTGAGCTGTCTGAGGTCCTAACGTCGGTTGCTCTCCAAAACCTCTTCAAACAATCGCAACTGGAGTGCCTCGAAACCAACAGCCACCAACGAGAACGACGTTCATCGTTGCTGCGTTCGAACTGTTCTCAGAGTCTTTTTCAAGAACCGGGAAACGGATGATGAATATGTGTTCTGTTCAGCAACATTCAGTGACTATATAGATCTTATTTCTAGCCCAAAGGAGTGGCATCTCACTGATTCACGCCCCTAAGGCGACGTAAGGGCTAAGGACTGGACATCCTTCCCACGTGGAAGCTGAAGTTTGCTGGCATCCATTTCCAGCAAGTGAATCTCTTCTTCCGGTGTCTTGATGGCCTCACCTCGTTTCGAAGCCCCCTCTGCCAGCACTTGCCCAGCCGCAGCTCGCGGATCTCGGGTTTTCTCCTCCTCAGCCGCGGTCGGAGCGTCCTTCTCCTCCTTTCGCTTGCCCTCCATCAGCAGCGCCACGAAGTCCGCCGACGCCTCCGCCTCCTCCGCCGCGTCCGCGCCCAGTCCCGCGCCCTCCGAGAAGCTGACGGCGAACTCGTGGGCGCGGTCGCGGTGGAGGCTCCGCTGCAGCGACAAGGAACTCAGAGAGGTCAGGGCGATGCGAGCCAACTCGGCCTCGGTGCAGCCAACTTGGGAGAAAAATGGGAGGCCAAGAGTTCAGTGTGGAAACTTGGATGGCCCATGAGTTGGTTTTCAGATCAAGGGCGCATATGTTTATCAAATGCAACCATGATCAACCATGCCTTCTGCAACACCTCAAAAGAACTTGATCCAATAGAAAAGAACAAAATAAAAAGAAGAGTACGTCGTATCATCGTATCATATACACGATATTTTGTCAGCTTGTCAGTGAGAGATTCTTGTCACTAAAATGGTATCCTATTAGTTTTCTCCTCCCCCTCTCGCTCCCGCCTGGCTGTTGATGCGTGTGGCCAGCAGGGCAGGTGCAGGTACATGACCCGCAGGCTCCCGTTGACTGGGAAGTCCAAAATATTCTTCGAGACGCTTGCCTGACCGCTTTTTAGGCCCTAACCCGAGGAGAAAGAACAAAAACAAGAGAGCTGCAACATGCTGCTTTTCAGAGTTCATCCGAGTTCCATATGGTTCCCAGGTCTGCATTCGCAAGACGTGTCCAGTCATCCCACATGGGAGAAAAAAACGACACGCACATGGGAGTCACAGTATGTCACAGTGAACTGGGCGTCCTCTTTGCGTCCTCCGGTGAGGCGCACCCAGGCAGGGCAGGTCCGGTCCCACGATGTCCAGAGACAAAACGGTCGACGTCCCACAAGTCCGTCGTAAAGAATCGCGAGTATCGCTGTTGGTGTTTTTCAGGTGACTCTCAACGTATGTTCAGTTGCGAGTTGCAGGTGGCTTCAGCTTCTCCGCTGAGGATCGCATCTGCATCGTAGATCGCTTCTGCTGACAATGCATCTCCTGGAGACGTCCACACCTGAAGAGGCAGCTATGACTCGTCTTTCGGCTGGAAAAAGAAGGCAAGCAAAAACAAACATGTTTTTTGGGGCGTGGGAACAAACTCAAAAACACCAACAACCAACAAACCATGAAAAGAATGTCTCACAAGACTTCTAGAATCCTACCCACGGGTTGTAAGAAGCATTTGACAGAGTGCAAAGCAGCTAGTCTCAGCCATGTATGCTGTATGCTTATTGTGAACAACTCATTGATGTGTACAAAGCCCCTTCCAAAAACAGAGACACGGACATGACACACATAATTAAGGTTTGTCCATATGGGGGTTGTTCAAAATTATGGTTCCCAAAAATTGTTCTTTCGCCGCGCTTTCGCGGATCTTTCGCATCCTTTCGCCCCCAATGTAAAATGTATTAGGATATATGATATTATTTTCGTTATTTTGTTTTCGGTGGAGGATCTGAGTAGAGCCACAAAAGTTCATCCATCGTATATGCAACAATAAATGTGCCGCTGCTACTTACTACTTTGGGGAGTGTGGATTGTGGATTCTGGATAACTTTGGTTTTTGGTTCCCGTTATTCCAAGGGCGCTCGGTAAACATAACTTCAAAAGCTAGAATGTCACTCGTCCACTAAAAACATTACACGGGTTTTAGAACGACTCCCATATATAGGTTGGTCAAACGAAAAGAGACCGATTCAGGAGATGTGCATTCCACCTTGACACACTTATAGGACCCATGCATATAGCCCCACCCCAGTTGGCGCGTGCCCCCCCGTTCCCACGCCACGTTCCACCTGCTTTGGCTCGGCCTTCCGCGCGCGCTTCTGGGCGCGAGCGGAGTCGGCCGCTTCGGGACCCTCGACGCTGCAAATCTGCTTGATCTTGGCTTGTGTGGTCAGGTCCTCCAACGAGCCTGTCGGGATCACGATGCTCCTTTTTGGAAGGATCAGGAGCGCCAAGCTGGCAGGCTCCGCCCCCAGCGAGCGCGACATGGCCCAAATGTCTCGCGCCTTTTGTTTTCAGATTCAAGATCATAGCATATGGCATGAGAAAAAAGACACCTCCAAAAACCGCCCCAAAAACCGGTGAAAAAGCCAAACGCGCCAAACCAGCGGTTTTGGCCTTTGCGCTGCAGGGAGTCCAGTAGCTCCATGAGCTCCGGATGCCACTCGGAGGTGAGTTGTGACGCCAGGAGCACCTGGACCTCCTCCGTCACCAAGTTCTGCACCTGTGAGGGATCGTCGGTGGAGCGTCAAGGGGGCGTACGAAACGGTGAGTGAGTGTGAGTCACCTGAGACCTGCGTGGAAAACAAGGACGTCTACAATGCTACATACAAGTCCCACAGTTTCCAATGACTCATGATTCACTACTTCAATTGGGAGATAAAATGAGTCATTAGGACTTCCAGCGCACCAGCGCAAGCAATGCAAGACTTCCACATAAGGAAGGAGTTTAAGGACATGTTTAAAGTGATTCTCCTTCCGTGCCTAGTTACGAGGCGATGTCGTTGACTCGTACCTATGCGCATCGATCAGTGATCCTTTAGACCTGCTGGCACAACTCCGGACCCCAACGTTGCGCATGCGTGGACCGTGTGGACACCCGGCCCGGACCGGCCCACCAACCTCCGCAAAGCTCTGATCTCCGAGGACATCTTTTCGCTGCTGCAGAATCTTCTTGAAGATATCCACTGCCGGTGCCAGCATGGCAGGGCGTTGTCTGGCCACAGATCCAAGCACTCGCATGAGAAACGGAGCTTTGGCCTTTCCTGCATCATTGTACCCCGAAATGGATTGCTGCAGCAACTGCAGTAGTAGCTCATAGAGCTGTTCTGCTTGTTGTTGAAGCACCACAGTGTCGATGAAAGCAGATCCCCTCGTCACATGCGAAGGTAAATCTTGGATGCAACTCACACCCCGCAGCTCCATCGGCACCCGTTGCACATGCCACAGGAGCGGCGCTGGAGTTTGCGACAGGATCACCATCTGAGCCCATCCGGAGGCTGCTGCCAATAGAACTGGATGGTCCGAGTACAAGAGAACCCGAGCCTCCAAGGCTCGACTCGCTCCACGAATCGGCGAAAATTCACCAAGAGCCGTTTCAATGAACGCATGAGCCGTTTCAATGTCCTAACTCCGAACATTGTCCTAACAGCCGTTTGTCCGTTCCAACGTTCAGCTGCAACATGCTGCAACGCTTCGACATTTTCCGACGGGTCGTTCTTCCCTCCGACTGTCCTGTCGTCGATTTCGTGCATCGGTATGATCCTGCGGTCCCTTAAAGGCCAATTCAGTATTTTTTCGAGAAACACGTCATGCTGATTGTGCTAGTGAATGGTATAGGTACCTTTGGGCAGTGAACCTAGGCCATGACGGAGCGTTTGGGATTTACGAAGAACAAATGCATCTACACGGAAAACCGGGCGAAGCGCTTTGCGGCCGCTTTCGCCCATGCCTTCTCCTGCAAGCGGCGCAACTGCTCAGCCAATTGCTGACCTTCAGAGGGATCTTGCTCCTGCACATGCGTTGCTAAGGTCACTGACACACAAAATAGTTGTCCTCAGCTTTGAGGTCGTATGAGTTCAGCAAAAGCATCTCGAGCAAATTGCCGAATGCTGAATCTGAATTGTTTAATCGTTCAATCTGCTCTGCTTTAGAAATCCCCTTGTTTGAGATTTCGAGTGCGTTGGTTCGATTTGGTGTCCTTGCGTTCGAAAACTGGAGAGACGCGACACCGGAAAACGTAAACCGCCAAAAGTGATGGTGAATGATCAGGGACTGACGAGCCGTCGCCCCCACCGCTCGCCACAAGGCTTGCGGTCGCGCCTTGGAAATCGCATGCAAAGCCCTGCTGTGATGAACTGCTGCAGCTTTCAGTGCCAATTCCTTGACCTCGGAAGATGCCGAAATCCGGAACCTTCCGATGCCAATGGCAATGGTCCATGTTCTTGGTCTTTAGTGCCCACTTGTGTTGTGGAAAGGAAAAGATAGCAAGCTCGGTCTTCAGCTCAAGTACTTCCCTTCACAGAGGAGAATGTTCTGAAAAAAAGGCATTCCATCACCATGAACACCCAAGACTCGATCCTGACGACCCTCTCCCACCTGCTTTCGGAGTCAAAACGCACCAAGAGCTGATCCAACGAAGTAGCTTCAAAGACTCACTGCCTGCCTTGGGAAATCTTGGGAACGAACCTGGTTCGGCCCAATTGCTCAACTTGTTTGAATCATCTTGAAGAACCATCATCCTCCCAACCCACCGAAACTCCTCCATCTTCCCCACCCACCACAGGACGGCCCGGTGGACCGTTCGGGCCGAAGGGGCCAGGAGGTCGCTGTCGGCCAGGAGAGCGGCAATGGCCAAGGTGCAGCGCAAGCACAAGCTCGGCCTCGGTTCCGCTCGGCCGGAAGCTTTCGCGAGCACGAGAAAGGCAGAAGTTCGCTCGCTCGGTCCGTGCGGGGAGGCCTATGGGGTCGCGGTGGAGTCCACTCAGAGGGATGGGATGGAAGATGGATTCAAGAAGAGGACAAGAAACCATGAGTGTTTTCAACAAAGCTTAATTCACTTTTTTTACACCTAGTTTCTGGTTGAGTGGGGTGTCCCATACATGTCGCCGTTTGAAACCCGCCCCAAGAGTCAGAGGGTGTCCTCTATAGCTTATCCACGTAGAACACGGGGATTTGCCGGAAGACTGGAACAGGCCGGAGATCTGCCGTTGAACTTAGGGGACGAAGGATTGTCGGGGACAGTGTAGAGATCAGTGGCCACATCTGTGGCAAGACCTTGGCTTGCTTTGCTTTAAGACCTTTGCGGTCTTGGCTGAAAAGACTCATGTGGCCTATTTAATGTAGCCTGTTGACTCATTAGAACCCATATCAAGAGGGTTTCCAATTCACACGGGGTTGCTGAAACGCTGGATTCTTCTGCAACTCAAGCAGAAGGAGAGAACGGGCACGCAAACTTGCATCGTATATTTTGGGAATGTGCAAATAGTCCTATCCCGTCCAAATCATGCCTCTGCCGGTTTGCAGTGACGTAAGCTCCGGTCGGTGAGGTGTCAAGTTTGAAGGACGAAAAGAGTAACTTGGACAGCAATTTCTACTCAACTGGGCGCTTTCAGAACCTGAAACCTCTCCACCGCACGCGGTTCCGCGCGGTCACGCGCCGCGCGCGGCAAGGCCGCCTTTCTCTTGGTGCTTTCGAGCGGCTTGGACAGCAGCAAGCGCTCGAGGAAGTAGGCGGCGAAGCGACGGAGGGGCGCGGAGGGATCCGCTTGAAGGTTCAGGAAGAACTCTAAGCCTCGGGCGAAGGAAGATGGGTTCGAAGGCCGAAGCGGCTGCAAAAGGGCAAAGATGAGATGGAAAAAGAAGTAAAAGAAGGGGAGGTCCTGCAAGGGAGATTAGAGCAAAAATGAAAGTGGGATGTGTGGTGTGTTGCTTCTGGTTTCTTCTGAAAAAAGACAAATTACAATAAAAAATACAAAAAGAACAACATGAAACAGTGTCTCTGATGATCAAATCTTCTCTTTGACATTCTCGGGCTATACCCTGACGATGTCACTCTGAGATCCTCGCACGTGGCAACCGTCTCGGGATAGGTATCAGCCTCTCCACAGCTACCAGCTCACCCGTTCCGCTCGAAGACCATGAGCATCAGGAAAGCTCTTGATCATGAACAAGGTTTTGTATACCATGGATGTTTTGACATCAAACATGATGACACACTCTCCCTGAAACAATCATGGAAGTGGAACACCCCCCTACAGTGGAGGAAAAACCGTCTTCCAAAGCCTTCCAAAGGGCCGCACTTTCATGTTTGGAGGGATGGTGGTTGCCTTTTTGATCCTCCTTTACTGGACGAGTCGGACTGGAATGAGATCTTGACAAATCACTGAGTCTCCCCACCATTTTTTCCATGCTCCCAACCAGCAGAAAAGAGAACGATCCATGTCCAAGATTAGCTTCCACACCGTTGACAACTATCTGATGGTGACATGTGTATATAAGTCTTGGACCCTCCCAAGATCGAGCAATACAGAGTAACAGAGTCAAGGTAGTTACTTGTAGTAGCCAGCACGCGGCTAAAGAATGGTCATCTTCAAAGCCTTCTTTGCACGTCACGAAGAGCTGTGGGGGAGTCGTTTTTTCTGCTTTGCCTCTGAAGATGTTGGGTGTTCGCCAATCTGGACCTCGTGGAACCTCCAAACCTCCCCCCTCCACGCCTTGAGAAGCAATTCTTGAGACTGCAAGAGGAGCTTCACCCGCTGTGTCACATCACGCTCAGAGCTCGCCAACTGGATCGGACCACGCGGACGCGCCGTGGACGGCGGTGTGTGGGTCCGGTGGGAATGGACACGTCCCCGGGTCCCGTGGGAGTCTCCGTGTGGATCAGCCGTCCGCGACAGGTCTCTCGGACTGGACCCGCCTGGAGGAGCTGCACGACCTGGAGGAGCTGCACTCCGATATGTGAAACGTGGTGGAAGGACTCATGAATGTCAGTCACGGTCGACGTCACATGTCGACGAACATCTGATGTTCTGGCCCAAGTCCTCACATTCATGACTGCTCTTGATGTTTGTCATCAGGCGCCAACATAGACTGCCTATGAAGCCCTGTCTCGAACCGTCTTAGGTGTCCATGAAATGATTGAAACCTGCAGGGCGCTGTCCCAAAAGGGGCACAAAGATTTTACCGTAAGGTCTTGCAAACAGCCACAACCAACCAACCAACCAACCAAGCAAGCAAGCAAGCAAGCAAGCAAGCAAGCAACCAAGCAACCAAGCAACCAAGCAACCAACCAACCCACCAACCCACCAACCCACCAACCCACCAACCCACCAACCAACCCACCAACCCACCAACCCACCAACCAACCCACCAACCCACACACCAACCAACCCACACACCAACCAACCCACACAACCAACCAACCCACACAACCAACCAACCCACACAACCAACCAACCCACACAACCAACCAACCCA